TCAAGGCTCCAGACCAGCTTGGGCAGAAAAGTCCTAAAGACTCTTAACTGTGTGGAGTGCATTTGTCATTAAACAATGACATGAAGTCTAAAGTTAAGTATGCAATGGCAGTCCAGGTATGTTCCTGAGCAGGAAGTGAACTATGTAAAAAATAACCAGTACAAAATAGGATTGCTGGCATGGCTCTACAGTAGAACACCTGCCTAGGGAGTATGAGGCTCCTACAACTACCAAAAAGGAAATTATGAATGATCCAATGAATAAATAACAAATGCACTAAATGAAATGGACAGTTCTCAGAAGAAACACAAATGGCTAATAGACATATGAAGAAATGTTCAATATTCTTAGCCATAAAGGAAATGTAAATCAAAACTGCACTCCAGTCAAACTAGCAATCACAAGAAAATAAACAATAACAAATAATAGTGAGACTATGGGAAGAGACCAGGGAAGAAACTCACAAACTGTTAATGGGAGCAGGAAATAGTGCAATGATGGGAATCAGTATAGAGGTTCCTTATGAAATTCAAATCAGACATACCTTATTATCTTACCATAACACTCCTGGGCTATATCAGGAGTATAAAACAATATACAGGAAAGAAATCTTCATAATCACATTTATTGCAGCTCAGTTGACAGTAGCCAAATTCTAGAATAAGCTGAAGTGTTCAATAACCAAAGAATGGACAAAAATTATATGGTGTGCATGTATGTAAATATGTACACACACCATGGAATATAACATAGTCATAAATAAAACGGAAGTTATATAATTTGCAGGGATGTGGATGAAACTGGAGCTCATCCTATTGAGTAAGATAAACCACGCTCAAAATGCCAAATATAACATGTTCTCCTTCTGTGCCAATGTGTAGAGCACATGTGGTTGGCAGCTGTTACCCTAAAACCAGATTTCTCCAGGTATCTGAAAGGGGTGTCAGATGGACACCCAGCTGCCTAGAAACCTGTACTTCTTTTCTGTTTCCTATTTGCATCCTTTGCACATGTTTAGGTAACCACTTTATGAAAGTCTTAGGCAACCACTTTACGAATCCACAGGTCACAAGTCATAGTTTCACAGCTATATCTTAGGCTAAGATCTATGATTCTAGAAGAGTACTTACTGGTTGAATATAGTGAATTGTATGACTGTACTAACAATTTTTAGCAATAAATCTACCAAGAAGCATTTAAGGGTGCTTCAAATGTAGTACTTTTAGATATGACCCTACAATGAATGATTGATTATAGAAATCTTTTATATATTCCAGCAGAGTGGACGAGCGGTTCTGCCGAGTCATGAGATTATGGACATTTGTAATTTTAATAGTTACTGAAAATGACCTTTCGAAAGAGTTATACCAATGAATTCTCCCTCTAATAGTGTACTGACGGCCCTTTTATTCATACTATTCCATCACTGGATATTACCTGTCTTACTAATTTTTGCAAATATTATGGTTTCGACCAGCTTTTTCCTCATCGTTAGTGAGGCCAAACACCTTTTTACATGTTAATTGGCCACTTGAAGATCCCTAAATTGTCTTTTTCATGTCCTTTTCATACGCTTTGCCATGCTACTTATTAGTATTTATGGACTAGTTTGTCTTCTGCTGATGGATTTACAGGAAACACAGGCTCACTGGTGCTACTTTTCATTTTATGTGCACCAAACATCTGTCTTCCTCAACCATCCCCCACCCCACCTGCCCAATTCCGCCCACCACTTCTGCCTCTAAGATGTCGGTCATTTCTAAGTTTTCATGTAATCAAATCTGGCAATTTTTTTCCTTTAAGCCTTCTGAAGATTTTAGGTCTTAAGAAATTGTTTACTTACTCTAAGACTATACTATATTCTTCAATATTTTCCTTTTGACATATCAAACTAGTTTCTATGGACTTTGTTTTATATATGGTAAAAGATAAGCTCCAACTTCATTTACTTATAAATCAACAACAGTTTGATACTATTTACTGGCAAAATCATTTTTCCACTCATCTGAAATGTCACATTTATCCTCTATTAATATCTTACAAACAATTTAGTCTATCTGGACTTAATTTTAATTAGCAATTTAACCCATACTCTTCTCTTTTCAAAGATTGAAAAAAAATGACAGAAACTTGAAGAAATTCAGGGTATCAAACCTATAAAAGTTAAAGTGAATGTACAAGTGAGTGAGGAAAGTTAGAGTGTACAAGCATGCACTCAGAGATTACCACAGATTTAGCAATCCACTGTGCCTCCAGCTTTGACATATCCTCCTCAATGATAGCACTGTCTTTGCACAAGAGGACCACAAAGAACTATGTGCTGAATGTTCTAACAAATAACACTGGGTTCAGTTTTCTCAGATACAGTATGTGAATTAAAAGTAATAATCTGATCAACGGCATGTCATTTAATTAATAAATAAAGCTTAAAAACATTATTGTATTACAGAAAGAATGCAAGAACTAAAGGCAATTAATATTACTTTTAAAAAAGAAAGGAAAAAAAAACGGATGTTCTAGTGTGTTTGACAGACCTCTTAGGGTTCACTAACTTTCCCATTCTTTAGGGGGGATGTGATATACCTTTAAAATACACACACACACACACACACACACACACACACACACACACATGTACACACACGAGGTAAACTGTGCTTAATAGTTGAAAATATCAAGGATACATATTTGAAAAAGCCATAAGTTCTTAAGGTGGGGGAGATCCTGTTTGACAAGGTTACCAGTAACTAAAGTCATACCATGTTATACTCTAATTAACAGAAACATTTAAGAAATAGTTATTCTGTGTCTTGCATTTCTAATTCCTGAAGGGATTTATGCAATCAACTGATCATATTGTTTCTGGGAATGTTGGAAGGAAATATATTGCATTTAATGTTTTCTACATACATTCAAAAGTAAGAACTAGGGGCTGGGGGTTTAGCCCAGCGGAAGCACGCCCGCCTGGCGCGCACAAGGCCGTGGGTTCGGTTCTCAGCCCTAGTTTAAAAAAAAAAAAAGTAAGAACTAATATTTCTGTTTTGTTGTAGTTATTATCTATGTTGAACATGAATATATTGAAAAAATAATGAATAACTCTCCCAATAAATCCTAGTATAAGCCATTTAGTCTAAATTTATGTAATATTCTTAGTGATTTAAAATCTATAGACACTTGTTTGTTTATTTGCCAGTCCTGGGACTTGAACTGAGGGCCTGAGCATTGTCCTTGAGCTTTTTGCTCAAGGCTAGAACTCTTGGTTAGGCCAACCTTCCCAGTTTACTTGAGAACTTTGGATCACCTGTCTTTCCTAAGTCATTCTTTCCTTCTAGATCATTCTCACTACCACATACTCTCAAAGTATCTTCATTTAAAAGCAAAAACCCTTCTCATTAGCAAACCTCCTCCAAATATGACCCTATTTCCTTCTTCCCTTCTGCAGTACAATTCCTTGAAAAAGTTCCTGCATTGCTGTGGATTTTTTCCCTCTCTATTTTTCCTTGGTTGGGCCTACTCCAATCAAGTTTTATTTCCCAGTACTGCTCTGAATTTCTAACAGAGTCACCACCAACCTCCTCATTTCCAAAAACAATAGGTAAGTCTTAGCACTTACTTCTTAGCAGCAACTTCTGGCACCTGATTACATTCTCCTTACAGTAATTTAATTGGTTGCAAGGACACTCAGTTCTTATATCATTTTCATATCTCATTGATTGTTCCTTCTCAGTCCTCTTTGATGAATCTTTCCCATCTCTGATTTCTACATGTAGGAGTGGCCCAGGGCTCAACCTCTGAAACTCCTGCCTTCTCTAGCGAAATTCTTCTAAGTAATCTTTGTTTTTCACTAGTGCTGGAACTGGGGCTTGAACTCAAGGCCTAGGACATACTAGGCACACATTCTACTGCTAAGCCATACCTGCAGTCCATTTCTGAGCTGATTATTTTTGAGATAAGATCTCATTTCCTACTTGGACAGTGATCCACCTATTTTAGGCGTTGTGTCATAGCTACGATGACACTTGTCATCACATCCAGTTTTACAGACTTTCCTGAGATAACATAATATTGTGATCTTCCCAATCACAAGCCTCATATGCTGGGATGCCACATTATACCCATTACTGATTGAAAAGAGGTGTTGTGAACTTTCCTGCTCCACCTGGCTTCAAATTGTCATCCTCCCTCCCACTTTTAGCCTCCCAAGTAGCAAGGGTTACATGCATGAGCCACTAGTGCCAGCTCGTATTTTTTTATTGGTTTCTGCCTAAAGAGAAATGAAATTCATAAAATGATTTTTTAATGAAAATTGTAAATTCTGCTTACTTTTCTTCATAGTATTCAACATGCTCTTAAAGTCTGTTGTGTACTTAGAATTAAACAACTTAATTAGAAATTAACTCTATGAGAGTATGGATTTTGCTTTATTTTTTTAACTTTGGAATCTAGAAAAATGCTTGGTAAGTATTTATGAACCCTAAGATATGCATTCAAATGTTTTTTTTCTTTCATGTGATTGTTTCTAACACATTTATAACATTATTTCTTTGTTGCTTTGTATGTCCCTCCCCCACAGTATAACCCCTGCTTTTACTGTATTTGATGTCAGTATAATTTGTAGAGGGGAAGGGGAAAAACAAATCGTTTAAATAGGGATACAGGTGGACCCATTGCAACAATGAGATGTACAAGTCGTTATGTCGAAAACAAACTTTACAACTTTGGTGCGGGGGAGGATTGGGTAGGGGGGCGGGCGGGGGGGGGAGGATGGGAAGGGATAGAAAGGGGAAACAAAGGAGGAGGCTACAATGCTTGATAAGAAATGTACTCATTATCTTGCCCATGTAATTGTAACCCCTCTGTACAGTACTTTCACAATAAATAAAATAAAATGAAAATGTAAATTTAAAAAAAATGTGTGCACAGGTTTGACTGTGAGTATGGCTTCATGATGCAGCTCAACACATAATCCAAAGTTGAAATGTGTGTTGAGTATTACTCACCTTCCGTTGTTTTCCAGAGTCCAATTTTATGAGCCAGTAGGAAGCCACTTTTGTTTTATGATGCTTCCAGTTATCGATGATCTGATTGGGGGAAGAATAAAATGTAATCTAAAAAAAAATCCATCCTAAGTAGTAGTAGTAACTAAATGGTTAATATTACTTTTATTAGTGAATTTAAGACACTGCAATAATACTCATAAAAACCTAGCTTTAATAAAAAGATCTGTGCAAAGATTTCTAACATAAGGCAAAGAAGGTCTCTGAATCCAAAGCTATTACTTCTTCTTGTACCATGGGGCACGATCTCTAGTAAATGAGAAAAGTCTTCAGGCACAAATATATTAAGAAGAAATCCAAGACAGATTTTCCATCTTTAGTCTCAAGATTTTATTAACAATATTATTAAATACTAAGTAATAGAATATTAGAAGGTAGCTGATATTTAATCAAAATTCCATTATCCCTTTGATTTGTATCATGTAGGTTTATAGAATTCTACACAGTCCAATACTGCATATAGCAAACAATCTAATGTTAACTATTAATTGTTTCATTCATGATAAAAACTTGTGTGACATTCATAGAACAATAACATTAGCCACAAATACTAGTTCTACTTGCTCACTAATCATCTTTGACCTGATTCAAAATAGAGTATATAAAGGAATATATACAATTATAATTACTAGTACCTTCATCAGCTTTATTTTAAAAAGGACTTATTGAATAAGATAACAGATAGTACATATAAATAAAAATATATCTAGCATAATTCTTTGCAATCAATTTTATTTTTTCCTTTTTCCTCTGGTGTCACAATTGGTAGCTTATGAGCCAAACAAGGTATTATTTACAGTGTTTTAAAAATTATGGTCATGCTGGGCGCTGGTGGCTCACACCTGTAATCCTAGCGAATCAGGAGGCTGACATCTGAGGATCACGGTTCAAAGCCAGCCCAGGCAAGGAAAGTCCATGAGACTCTTATCTCCAATAAACCACTAGAAAACCAGAAGTGGCGCTGTGGCTCAAGCGGTATAGCGCTCACCTTGAGCTAAAGAGCTAAAGAGCTGAGAGACAGTGCCCAAGCCCAGAGTTCAAGCCCCACAACCCACCAAAAAATAAATAAATAAATAAAATAAATAAAATAAAATAAATAAAAATTATGGTCACAATAAAATGCATACTATTAGAAGCTTCAGTTACAATCAAACCATAATTGTCACTATGAATTGTTTAATCAAGTCTTTTGTCATTTTGTTTCATTTTTCTTTCTAAATACTTGCTTTAGACAAATCCACAGTAATGTTTAAAAGAGAAAAAAAAACCCTAAAACCAAAAAAGCCAAGTGTATCTTACAGTTGATCACTAGATGGTGCTTTCTACTCTGCAACAAAAAGAAAGAAAGAAAGGAAAAGAAAGAGAAATTACAGAAAAAGTTCTAAGTCTATTACTGAGTAATTATCCAAGAACAACATTTGAAAAGATGCCTGAATGAAGAAATGGAACCAAAGGCAAGGAAATACCCTTCACCAAAAATGCTTCAATGACTTTGGCCTTCTTTCTGAATCAGGAGTTCAGTCTGGACTCCAATGTGAATTTTAGGACCCTTTGCCATTTTTAGGTATTCCAAAGGGTGGTTCAAATCAGTGTGTGAAAAAAAGAGAACACAACTCAGCATAGGGCACTTGACCAAAAAAAAAACAATACTGTGACATTCAAGGTGTCACATTCCATTTCTCTTGACATTTTATGGCAGGGCCCCACATTTTTCATCATGTCCCATCCAAGAAGTTCAACCTGATATTTCTATAACCACTAAGAACAATAATTATTTAACACTTTTTCTTACTTGATAAAACAATCTTAAAAGAGAACTTTGTACTAAAAAAGTATTTTTGTATTGCTGATTATAAATGGGATCTCACTGTTCATGAGTCATAATATTTTTATAAATTGTGTGGAAGTTAAAAAGGGCATCTTTCTTACCCAGGCATTGCATTTTCACATTTGTAAAAGGATAAGTAAATGCTTCTTGGCATTTCACATGCATCTAATACTCACATCTTCTATTAGAAGTTCTGATTCTGCATCTGACTTTCCTGGAAACCGGATCTTCATATCCTTGAGAACAAATAAGGTCTGACTTGTTAGATCATCTTCTTGTTCTTTCGTTTTCAGTTGCCGCAAAGATTCACTCTTAAAGTTGAAAGAATACAGATAGTTGGAGGGGGCCTAATTTCATTGTGCCAGTATAATCTGAAAGATATTTCTACGTAAAAAATGATGCACTTTAAATAGAAAAACCAAGGAGAAAATAATTTCTCACACCAATGAACTCTTAGCACTAAATGGATATAAATACCAAAGGTGTCTTTCGCATTGGTTGCATTTTGTTTCACTCAAAATATGAATATGAAAATGGGAGTCTTTAAAATAGGACTTCTTATCACTCTCATTTGCAACATGTATCAAGGCTACATTTGGAAAAAAAAGATCTATCAATATTACCAAATAAAGCTCATTCACTTATTTAAGTCTATGTAAAGGTACTTGATTGCAAAAAAAAAAAATGCATTGACTTCTCAATTCTAAAGTTCTGGGATTTATGTTCAACTGGGGCTACTTTAATAGGCACAAAATATCACAAACAACTAAGAGTCATAAGGAGAATTTATCAATGCTTTTAGCCAATTATCAGTTGGCCCACTTAGGTACAACTTTGTATGCAACAAATTTCCCCAAATTACAGACTATACACTATAAAACCACACACTTACTCATATGATTTTCAACAGTATTATATCCTATTGCATCCGCAAATAATGTTATCAGTGCTGTCCTTGAGTCTGTGATATGGTAAAGTTGCCTTTTAAAGAGTTCACAATAAATTCCAGCATAAACTAGCTGAATAACTCTGATTCCAGGAACCTGAGTTGAACTACAGAAAGGACCTGAGGTCTTCCTCTCAGTGAATATCCTTTTGCCAGAATTCTGGATCTGAGGTCAATGCCTTCTCACATCTTGAAAGAGCAAAATAGGTAACTTACCGACTGTGAACTGGTAGACACCATGTCACCACTGTGAGGCAGAGGTCTCACGTAGGAAGAAGCACGGCTTAAGGAATGCGACCGAGATGCTGAAGTTGGTCGTGACATTGATACCACCTGTTGAGCAGAAAGGGGGCGAGTGTCCCCACTGGAAGATGAGTGAGTAGAGATGGACCGAGGGCAGCTGACTGAACGCCTCATGGTACCTATTGATGAGGGTGAAGAGGGGAGGAGGTATGTTAGTAGTGTTAGTAGACATCTTCCCTCTCCTGGGACGAAATAAACTCAAGATTGGCCCAGGTGGCAGTTTAAGTTGCAATCAATCTCAAACATCACTGTGGAATTCATTCTTCAGTTTAAACAGTGAACCTGAAGTAGAACCCCTCTGGTATATAAAGAATGGCTATTATGGGAATAAAAATATAAGCATTACTTTAATGTCATGACATAAAACAATAGTAACAGAACATTTTCTATAAGCCAGGCATCATACTAGGCACTGCACTTTTTTTCTTAATCTTCATGGAAACTGAAGAAGGGTTTCAGTCACCCAGCTCAGAGAAAGAACTTTCACAAGGTCACACAGTTTGATTGTGACCACACTCAGGTTTACACCTTTGCCTATCTAATTCCAATAGCTTCCCTCTTCAATAACACCATATACATCCACTGTCCTTGGGTCTCGACTGGTCATTTATTTGACCATACAACTGGAGATTGAATGTTTTACAGCAAGATTCACAGGAAGGACAAGAAAGAGTGAGTGGCCAGGATTAATAGGTTATAGAATTTAGGGCCCATGAGGGGGGAAAAACTAAAACCAGAAAGAAATACATAAAGATGATTCTACTGGACTTCAAATACATATTTGATTATTAAAATGGTAGCACTAGTCTTCTGATTCACAAAAGTAAATAACAAAAAAATGAATGAACACAGATTAAATTTCAGAAGCAAATGATAAAGGGGAAAAAATTTTGAAGGATAATTGCCATAACAAATATCTTAAGAAAGCCATAAGTATATCTTCTCCAATGCATAAAAGAACATTTAAGATAAGCAACTCCTCTAATAAATTGTGATGCCTAACTAATGTCATTCACTGTTACCATTTTTCCTCACTTTTTAAAGTTCCATTATTCTAATTATCCTGTGTTCTATATTCTCTCTCTGATTGGGGTGTATATAAATCTTCCTTAAATAATTTAATAAGACTCACATGATGTCAGGCTGAATACCCAAATATTTCTCTTCATAAGCTGTTAAAGAAAATTTAAATCTTTTTTATAAAAGCAATGGACAAGAAGATGTATATTTAAGGACTGTATTTCTAAAGGGTATTTTGAATAAATGATAAAGACAATACCAATAAAAGATAAAGATAATACTACTCATTTAGATCCAGAAGATATAACACAGTACACTACACTTGTTCAAGCTATAGATGTTTAATTTTAAAGAAATTTTTAAAAAAACTTTGTTTCCATGACTCCTTCCAAACCGTGCCTTACCTCAAACCATCTTTCAACAGTGCATTGCAACCAGAGAAGGGATATATGAAGGACATACCTCAGGTCAGGTAGTATGTTCTCGTTGGTTTTTACAAAGAACCACTCATTTTTTTTCATATGTACAGAGGTCAACCTTCTGCTATGAAAATACCCACTAATTGTTTGCTAACCACACTGTGGTCCAGTTCCCCTCAAGGGCTTCAAGTGGCAGTTTGGATGGGTATTTTCTGAGCAAAGTGCAGAAGAAAATGTCTTTTCTCTTGAGTCCTCAAGATTCCCATTTTATTGACTTTATTTATTGGGAATTCAGACAGAAAAACTAGTTTGATGGGTCAAGTGATTGTTACTTCTGTCTGAAATTGTTTTATACCATTTTTATATGAATACTTGATATTAAACCAAAATATATCCTTTGGAAACTATAACAAGTTTGGAAAATGGGGGGGAGACTGACTGAAGGGGTGACTAATCATGAGGCATTGTACTCATAAACTGATATATTAAATTGAAACTCTTTTGTAAAACTATTTAAAGATAACAAAACTTTTTGAAGAAACTACAGTGAGTTCAAATTTCTCATATTAACTATCTACAAAAACAAATATTAAAACAATTTAGATTTCGTCCTTGGTTGTCAGCATCACTTTAGAGACAAAACTCAAGGAAAATTTGTAACTTTAACAATTTAAGCGTGAGATTAAAGAGAAAATGTAAAGCAAAATGAAATCCTTGTTATAATTCCTAATGAAGACAAAAGAAACTAATAAGGGAAAATGGCATGTAATTGAATTAGACTAGCTTTAAAATGAAAATTCATATTTAAAAAACATTTTAAAATCTCTATCCTACTTAGTATATTGCTATCTGATCTCAATTTGTTAACTTATTTGCCTGAGAACAAAGAAAATCTCATAGCTACAAAAACTCTTGAATTTATTTTTCTATTTGTTCCCTAACCTTCATCAGTTCATACAATTAAAGCATAGTCACATTAACTAGTAGGAAAGAGATGTTTTTTAAAGCGGGGAAAATTTCAGCAGGAAAATGTCAGCCTTCATAATAGAAATAGAGCAACATTTAACCAGTGACACACTGAAAGTACTTAGGAATCCCTAAGGGAAAATAAAGGAGTAAAATGGGTGACAAACTCGAACAGGTATTCAGTAAGCAAATAAATAAAATGGAACATAAATTATTTCCCCTCCAAATAGAAATAGGAGCACATATTTTTATGGAATAAAATTATAAGCAAAAGGAAGGCTATTTCTTGAAGTTTTCACCTATTAGTTCTGCATTCTCCATGTGTTTTGTCATAAGCATCGAAGGCCAGTCATAAAACACACACTTTACCAAGAAAGCTAATGTTATCAGACCATTCCTGGAGATCAACAAAGGCTTATAACTGTGTTTACTTCCTTGCTGAACTGGCTCCTATAGTGGAACCCTGAGACATTCGGCAGTAGGCAAAGGATAATAATGAAAAATAGTCATATTATCAGACACAAAGTTGTGGATTCTGCGTGAGGAGTTTTCCAAGTGGATCTAGGCAAACACCAATACTCCATTGGACATTTGGGAGTGAAAAGGAGTCATGAGTAAAATAACAGACCTTTGGGATTATAAAAAGGGAGAATGTGAAAAAAATGAAAATAGTAGACAAATTGAAGCAGGAAGAGGAGATGGAAAACATGATTGTCTGCTCTCCTATACTTCAAAAGCCCTAACTTAAGTGTTACCTGTGATGCAAATGGGAGAGAAAAAACTTCAACTATTTTGTAATTGTGTGGGTCAGAGATACATTCAAACCAAATGCTTAAAGAGATGGACACATTTTACAAAAGAAAATAGATGGTAGCATTACACAAAGTGAGGGTCAGGGCAGTAGAAAGAGGGAATGGCTTGAGACAGTGACTTAAAAGACAATGAAATCAGGAGATGAGTCAAAGGCCCATATTCAAAAAAAAAAATCCTTGTATCAGTCTAGCACTTACCAAAAAGTGTAAAAGAGGGAAGGATGTATCTTTCATCCAACTCTCTCATTTTCTATTTGCAGTAGCAGAAAGGGATTAAAGGATAGGCCCAGGTCTGGTTAGGGAAGGACATAGGGTAGAATCCAGGTCTCCTTACACAAGACAACAAGGGTTCAATTTGGCACAAGGTGTTTTTACTGAGTTCAAGAATTTCATTTCATGCATCAAGTAAATTAGAAGAGATTGACTTACTGGATTGTTGAATTAATCTGCAGTGGTTAGAGAGCTTAAAACTGTACGAAACTTGGTTTTCTCTTTTCTTCTCTTGATACTCTTCTTTTTCATTCTCATCTGATTCTGAAGAGCTGTTGCTGCTGTCATAACTGCTGTCACTGCTATAGTACTTCTGTCTTTTCATGATCTCAGTGCTCTCTGGCATTGAACACAAGGGCTAAGAGAGATGCATGTGTTATTTTGTTAGGATTCAAAAAAACGTTATCACCATAAAGAGTTGCTATTTTTAATTTCCCCAAGTGCTTGCTGCTTTTCACTGAAGGCTGAAAACCCCCCTACACACTATTGCAGTAATGGCTTCTCAGACAGAGCATCCACTAATGGTAATGGTTCCAAAGAAGATGCTTACCTAAATAATATAACTAGGGCATAAGGAAGAAATACTGTTTTACTACATGACAGTAATAAAGAACCATGGCATCCATAAACAAAGACTTAACAAAAATCAAGGAGAAATACCAAATATGAAAAGCACAGGCCTGATCAGCTTTTTTTCATTTCACATGGAAATTACCTATTAAGATTCACTCAATAAATGTGAAGGGGAGGAGAAAAAGAGATGGGATGGACAGAGAGAATAAGAAAGCAACAGCCACCCAAGCCAGTATAAATAAGATTGCACCTTACAGCAGAGCCTTCCACCCTGTCCATTTAGATCAGGTGCAACCAACAGAGACGCACTCCTCATGTGACTAGTTCACTGTGGTATGAAGTTACTTACTTATTCTTGATGCTGATAATTGAACTTGGTGGTATACACATGCTAATCAGGTGGTCTAGCACTAAGCTACACTTATCTCCTGCTGTTGATGTTTATAAGAATAAAATTTGCAGTTTATTATCTGCTTTCCAAATTGGTCATGGACAAATCCTGTCTTTTTAAAGGCTTCCTAACTTTGACACATTAAGTGTGGACAGAATGGACTAACATGTTCTTCATTGCCAGCTCTATAATGTTAACAAACTGACACAAGAGGAAAGCCAGTATGGCATGATTCCTTGGAGGACAGACACACACATAGAAGGGTAAATCTTCAACGATTCAAAATTCAAGGTATTATATTCCAGTATCTCTACCAGAATCACTTCCTTCCAATCTCCCAATTGATGTTTCCAGAGATGCCAGCTGAAGGAAGCGAAAAGAAGGGGGATGGGACTGCCTCATTTCAGAAAGTGAAAACCGGCCAGTTTTGTAATCCAGTCACTTTAAGACTATTTGTTACACACACCAGATGCTTCCAACTCCTGGTGGGGGAAGTTCCTGCAGTTGTATACTAGAGGTTTGTTCTCTGTTAAATCAAACAAAACTGTTTTGATGTTAGCATACACCTAATGAAATCCTTTGGGTACCATGGGATTTCACTGAAAGAAGGTATATCCTCCAGTGTAACAATGTAGGATGAAAGATAAAGAGAGAAATAACATTTCAAGAAGTGCCTAGAATACATAGTAAGTCCAACCGTGATCGTCTTAAAGGTACACTCTTTGCAAAGGATAAAATAGAACCAACGCAGGAATACACTACGGTACCAGCTTGTATTTACACAGATGTTCACCTTTTGATGATCTAATATTTAGGGAGCACTAACAATGTTCAAAGAGATATGCATAAAAACTTTATCAGCAAAACCATCATCAAACATTTTGATAGTCTAGAGGCCCTACAGGAAGGATGTTTCTTCAGAAGTTTAACAGAGTGAGAAGAAATGATGGTACAATCAGCCTCACTAGGAGTGCCTTCCTTCTGCAAGCAAATAAATTTATGTTTTCTTACGGAGCTTGACATATGCAGTGAGTTATTCAACCTTGTAAAGAATCATATGGAATTTAGAGCTGAACCTCTGGGGACTATGCATTGGGGATTTTCTGATAAATAAATTAGAAGTCACAGCAGTACCCTAACTATATAGTAGAATTGAAAAATGATATTAGCTTATGGGATAACCATGTTACTAATTTTCATGTCCAACTTAATTATAAAATCAGTTATATATAAAATGTAGATAGATATATACATAATAAAACAAATACACATGTACATACCACAGGTTTAGAAAAATAACTTTCTTTGAGAACATTGTAAGTCACTTAAGTTATTCTAGTATCAAAGCGCATTTCTGTTGTTTACATGTTGTCAAATAATAAACTATAATAAACTATGATTTTGAAATTTAAAAGGTAAATTGTATTTGTATGACTATTAATTGAATTGGGTCTCCAAATAATTACTTAAATGGTTTCTTAATAATGAGTCATTGTTTCACTATTCAAAATAGCCAATTGTAAAAACAGCCCAGATAAGTAACTTACACAATGAAATTTTACACAGGCATTAGAAAGAATAACATTATGTCACCTGCAGGGAAATGGATGGACCTAGAACAAGTCATGTTAAGTGAAGTTAGCCAGGCTTGGAGTGACAAATGTTTCCTCTCCTATGTGAAAGCTAAATCTAAAATATACAGGGTCTGGATAAATTGTACAGTACTCTAGGCATTCACACACAGTGAGACCAAAGGAAGATACTCTTAGGGGAAGAACACAAAGGTTCAATGCCTAATGTTCATCTGATCATACAAAATAATATTTATCTAAATGAACTCCAGGAATGTAAGCAAGAGGTTTTGTTCTTTGTTGTGGTTTTTGTTTTCTTTTCTTTTTGTCTGGTTTGTTTATCTACTCTTCAGGTGGGGGAAGGTAATGGAGGGCACAGAAATGGAGGGACAAAGGGTGAACAAATGAAGCAAGGGTACTCAGTAGACACTATTTTTAACATGAGCTACACAACTTATGTGGGGGAATGGAGTGAACTGGGAGAGAGACTGAGGGAAGGGGTGACATTTTCCAAAAAGAAATGTACTCCTTACTTCATTGATGTAACTGTAACCACTCTGTACATCACCTGTATAATATCATCCCTCTAAAACACAAGTTTCGTTTTGAAGCTTGACTCACTTCAAATCGTTAAGGTTAAAAGATATAAAAATGTTTTTACTTTAATTGGGCACTTCAACCACTTTAAAAACTGCTGGATTTAACGACAAGAACTATCCAATTCACTTCAACAAATACATTGTTAATTCTTTCTACTTGCCTAGAATGAAAAGGGTTGAAACTACAAACAATGTGAATTTGGCCCTCCATCAGGATGCCTTTTGTTGTATGACAAGTGTTTTATATATGAGTTAAACAAAAGAAAATGTAAGATGCCCAGGGGAACTTGCATTTGCCACATTCCGCCATGAACAGTGTCCCCAGGTATCACATATTGGACTTGACAAAGCTTAGAAATCCCTCAGTATTTCACAACATGAAGTCCTGACCCATGAACTTATTCACTCTTGCAAATAGCCTGAATGCATTTTTTCAAAGAAATTATCAATTACATATTCCAGAGAGCAATGCCTGACATCAAAGGTCTCCCAGACACATATTGCTCATTAGGCTCCCCTTGTATCATTCTATCTTCCAATAACCTTCCACTTGAATCACACACCATGTAAAAATCTTTGTTTACACAACTCTCAATGGAGTATCACCTCCCTTAGTCTGTGCCTTCAATGTTCCTCTACTCCATTGTACTATTAAATGTGTACAGCACTTCTAATTTTGCAAGCTCCAGTTCTAAAGCCAATGCCTTTATAAAGTCTTCCATACTGACTATAGCATCTCCTATTCTTCCTAGCTGCAGCACTTCACTCTTTCGGGGCCTGCCACATGATATCCTGATTTCAGGCTTATCTTTCTAAGTGCTCTTCTACTAGATAATGTAGAATTATTACAGACACATTCAGCAAATTTAACTAATGGATGTTGAGTGCTTGTTCATCTAACACAACTTCATACCACCTCTGACAAATAACTACTTGTAAATTCACAACTGCTCTGTGTTCAAGTGCTATTTTATGGGGGAAAGAGTCAAGTCGAACTGGACTCACAAGGAAAGGCTTCACAGATAGAGCAAAGGTATAGCTAGATGAGGAAGGGGTTAGTAATCAACAAAGTAACAAATCAAGTATTGTTTGAAGCAGGCAGGCATTTCAGAGGCAAAGATATGCATGAGGGCATGACCACTCAGGATGGCCTAAAGACGGGGAGATGATTACATAAGGCTAAAGTGTAAAATAGGAAGAATGAGATGAAAAAGTTTCCAATGTGTCTCTCACTCAATACCTTCCTTTTTCACTAGTGAGGACTTGGACATATATCAGAAGAGCACATGGATTTCATTATCCCAGAGCAGATGCAAGTGAAGTAAACACCTTCTTGGTTTAGCATGCATAAGAGGCTCTTAATTATTTTTCCTGGGAAGAAAAAAAATTTATTTTTCCCATTTTAACTAACCCACTACCAGTGTTTCTGGGTCAACAAAAAGATGAGGCTCCTTTTCAATGAGTCTGATTCCTTAAGTCTGATCACTGTCTCTAGTTGAAAAACTTGACATGAAGCTTAAAATGATGGTATTAGTTGTAGGTCCCTCTTAGAATGACTCAGAGGCTATCACTTCTATGAGGAAAATGCTAAAAACTGAAGGATACTAAGAAAAGAATATTTCTTCTGAGTATAAGACAGTGTCATCTTTACAATTCTACCTGTGCTGGACACATGGTGCCTTCAGTTCCTCAACAGCAGCATGACTCCTAGGACAATATCAGGGGGGAGCCAAGCATACTTAGCAGTGTGCACTGTGATTCTAAGGAAAGAAGTGATACTGCACCTTTGGTCCTCGAGGCCTAATCGCTCTTCCCGTCAACTTTTCATCATCAATTTCACACTGTTCGAGAAGATCCAGAATATCTTCCTCCTTCGAAAAATATATTAAGGCTATGATCTCTGAAAGATTCCAAATCTATGAATATTTATGAAATATTATATAGATAGCCCTAACACTACCCTGTGAGAAAATAAATAAACCAGGCACTGGTAGCTCATGCTGGTAATCCTAGCTACTCAGGAAGCTGAGATCTGAGGATCCAGGTTCAAAGCCAGCCTAGGCAGGCTTTCTTATCTCCAATAAACTACTCAGAAAAAGCTGGAAGTGGTGCTGTGTCTCAAATGGTAGAACACTAACCTTGAGCACAAAGAGGCTCAAGAACAGTGTCCAAGCCCTGGGTCCAATTCCCAGAACTGGCAAAAACAAAAAAAGGAAGGGAGGGAGAGGGAGGAGAGGAGAGGGGAAGGGAGGCGAGGGGAGGAGAGGAGAGGAGAAGAGACAGGAGGAGAGGAGAGGGGAGGAGAGAGGAGGGGAGGGGAGAGGGAGGGGAGGGACGGGAGAGGAAGGAAAGGGAGGGGAGGGGAGGGGAGGGGAGGGGAGGGGAGGAGAAGGAGGAGAGCTCTTGCTTGTAGTGCTAGCTACTCAGGAGCTTGAGATCTGGGGATGACAGTTCGGAGGCACCTTGGGCTGGAAATCTGCAAGACTCTCATCTCCAACAAAGTATCAAAAAAGGTGGAAGTGGAGCTATGGCTAAACTGACAGAGAACTAGCCTTAAGCAAAAAAAGCTCAAGGACCGCACCAGGCACTGATTTCAAATTCTAGGAACTGCATAAATAAATAAATAATCATAACAAATTCTCTTAAAACTTCTACTAAAATCTGACCATATAAATAACACATGGCTGAAATATAGTTCACATTACTTCTTAAGCACAAATGAATACTTTTGTTTCAGAATCTACTTAAATCTTAGAATATAATACATTAATAAGTTATCTTATTAACTCAAAAATTTTCAGAAGCTCTAATTTTCTAGACTAAATTCTCATCCACTCCTATCCTAATTAATGCAAAATATTAAACCTCACCCTAAAAACTGATAATTGACCTACATGGTTCATTTAGAAACAATCTAATGTTAGAATCTGGTTAACAGGAACTACTTAATGAAACTCTTGACAAACTGTAATTACTGAATTGCTTTATTAAAGAGTTTTCTATAGCTATCAATGGTTGAACATATACAAACTCTGCTGGCACCCTTCTCTTGGTATCTTCTACAATCATCTTGACATCAGAGGAAAATTTAAAAAGAAAACAAAACTCCAAGGGATGCAAACCAGAGCAAAAGTTGTACAGAAACAGCCATAACCACTGTTGCACAGTTATTCAGCCTATAAAAATATCTGAACATTATTTATATATTTATAACTTGTATTTCAACATCTCCTTTAAAAGGGACAGAGCCCAGGCTCTTAAGTAGTTCTGTTTCTATTTAGATAAAAGAGCACAACAGACAATGTTTTCATCCTAACAATTAGGAAAAAAAAACATACAAACTAAGCAACACATATTTTAAAACAGAAAGCTGTATCTAGAAATCATATAAAGGAACTTTATTGCAGAGAGGGAGCAGGTTCTTTCCAAGTGAGCAGAGATGAGTAGCCACTTCTACTGTGGAATCCTTTGTCAAGTCAGGACAGAGGTAGGCAGGTCTACCATAGGCAAAGAATTTCTGTTGGGTTAAAGAAAATCCTCTTGAAATGTTCCCTTTTAGAACCCTGAAATATTCTAGTAAGAGATCTGGCTACTCTGCTACCATACCATAGAAAGAGAAAAATACACTCAACTCCAGGGTGTTCCAAACATCCTATTGGATCGCCTCGGACATAAGAGTTAAGCCATATTGGCATTCTAGGCCCAGTAGAGTACAAAGGCCTCTGCAGTTCATATATGACTCATTCCAAGAAAAACCAGCAGAAGACCCAAGCAAGCAACTGTGGCCAGCAAGACAACATGAAGTGGTGTGTTATAGTGCATCAGAGACACCTTTCATTAAAGTAAGAAAAAAAGAGAAAGGAGGGAGAGGGGTATTTAATTACCACCCACTCTTATATACCAGGATGTCAGGTCTATATGGTATAAAGAAAAAACCACTTCACAATCTTTGTTAGAATCGAAATTTAAAAAAGCACAAAACATTAACTCATTGGATTTCTCTATCCTGTGCCATGTACCAATCTATGTAAGAAGGTGTGTTATTATAATGATACTATAATATGAATCTCTCTGCTCACAACTTGTCTGATTAGTATCTTATTTAGAAAGTCATTTGATTTCTTATGAAATCTTACCAATTGTTCAAATGGAAATCTGGAAGCATTTTTACATGCAAGACTAGGGTGAGTTGTTTTTAAAGACATACAATTTGGCTTTTTTTCTTTCAATGTATAAACACTTTTTTTTTCTTACCTTCATCTTTTTCAAAGGATTATTTAGCTCTCGTTGGAATGAAGCTGCTCTTCCTGAAAGAAAGGTCTGAAAGGCAACAGCTAACAAATTTTCATACTTTTCAAGTAATGTTTTATCTTCAGGAGGATAAATTCGTCTACAATAAAATCAGATAAACCCATTTGTATAAAAGACAAGAATCCAATGTATATCCTACAAAACTAAAAACAGTGAGAGAAGGGATAGGTAGGGAGGGATTGGGTGGGAATTCTGAAAGGGGTGACATTGACCAAGATATATTGTATTTGTGAACTGCTTTGCTAAGTGCAACTCCTTTGTACAGCTACTTAAAGATAATTTAAAAGTTTTAAGACTAAATAAATAAAACTAACAAAAGAGGGGGGAAATGGGAAGCTCTCATAGTTCAATAGTTAAGATCAGCTGTTTACATAACCATTGCCCTCTGCTTTGTTCTATTACTAGGGGCTAGAAATGGAGACAGGCAGCTATGAGAAGTTCATCAATTTTCCATTGTTACATAAATTATGGGTTATCTAGAAAGCATCATTAAACAGCATAGTTACAAAAGATCCAGTATAAGGGTTTGGTTGTGGGAAAGTTGTGGAAGCCAATTGATATAGGTGCTAAGCAAGAAGGGTTAAGTTCTATTTTGGTGTGGTTATTGAAGGACCCAAGTAGACAGCAGTAGTCTTGATGATTTCTGTTTGGGGTAACTGAATGAGAACAGGGTGAGACAAGGTGAAAGGCACGTGTTCTTCTCATTTCTTTGTAGGCAGGAAAATAATTCTTCTTCCTTCACTCACCTTTCCAAATCCTGGTGAGGCAATGTTAAAACTTAAGGAGCAAAACAAGAGCGTGTTTTGCTAAGTCGCAAGGCACTTAGGGATGTCCTTTTGATTGTATCAAGGGTATCTTATGAGGGGTTCCAGTCAACACAGTCTACAACCCTGGCTACTCTTTCTAACTGGATCTTTCACATATTTCTCTTATTTTCCTGGTTCCTGAGTATTTGGATTTAAAACAAAGTACAGCAACCACTACACATCCACAGAAAGAGTGTTACAAAATGTTACTTTCTTAAAATGCCACATAACCAATAACCAATTATATTCACAGAAGAACAGTAGTTTAAAAAATCTGAGAGGCATCCCAGAATCTAGAAGGCAGGAGCTGTCTCTCATATCAGAACCATCTGCCTGCTGACCACCTTTTCTTTCCTGAAAGATCTTAAACAGGAAGCTCTCTCTCTCCAGGTGAAAGAACAGTGCTCAAAATACGATTTTAAAATGAAAGAACAGTTTCTAAAAGGATGAAAAATACTGAATGATTTCTCTGTCTCTCAATTTTTTCCATCTAAATAAAAATGGTAGCATAGTTACCTGTAATTCCCCATGTGTCGATTTTCATGTTCTTCTCGGGAGACCTGCTTTCGTACTTGAGCAAGTCTCTCTTTCTAGAAATGAAGACATTTTTACAAATTAAACCCATGGGTCATGCAAATCAAAATGAGTGTACTTTGTTTAAATGTTCACACCAGGCTGTGGATATAGCTGAGTGGTAAGAGCACTTTCCTAGCATGCATGAGGCCCTCAATTTGATTCTCAGTGCTGAATGTACATGTGCAAAGCACACATGTGTACACACACACACACACATACGTATATACATATATACATGCATACATACATACATCCATACAATACAGTGCTCATACCAATTCTTCTTTTCGCCTCTCCAACTGGTGTCTCTGATACTCCCAGTCAGAAGAACCAGGTAAGGGCTTTCTTATTGAGTTCTGACCATATAGCCTCTTTTGAGCCTCAGCTTTTTGCTTGGCCAAGTTTCTCCTTTTATCACTGGTCCTAAAATTCAAAACACAAGACCACATTTTAGAGTCAAAAAACACACTTATTAGTCCTATAAGAAGAACTGGCAGAAGAAGCAATATAGTAAAGATTGAAATCAATGTTTATAAAATTTATTATTAATCCAACTTTGGTCTTGAAGAATTAGATGGGCCTAGTTTCAAAATCCATCCTAGAAACTTAGTAGTTCTGTAATCTTAGATGGGTCAATTAAATGCTGAATGGGTCTCATCTACAAAATGCTCAAAATAATGCTATTTCCCTCCCAAAAGTCTTTTAAAGATCAATTTAGGTAATTAAGAAATGTGCTTCTCTTATCCATCTTCAACAAATCATTTACCTATAGGCACTCTCATTTATATTGACCACTTGTAGTATATTTTCAGTTAGGACAGAAATCCCAAGCCTGAGCCATCATTGGCTTAAAAAGAGTGTGCACAGTCCTCTTTCTATTTTCTCAATCATAAAAATTTCATTACAACTCTGATTTGTATATAACTCTTATTGTGGGATTTTTTTAATGTAAATAGTGTTTCTCTCTCTTCCCTCCCATGTAACTAGAACAGTAATTATGAGGTCCTCCGTGCCTTTCCAGCTCACACTCTTACAAGCCACAGTGAAGGATCTATCAGGTACAGCATGGAACCCTGAAGAAAAGGAAAAGAAAATCTAATTCTGCCCTCAGCTATCTAGTACCAGATGTGGATGTAAAACAAAGAGAAGCAGGTAAGAAGGCCAAATGACCAGCTTCTACAGCAGAAAGATATAAAGAGGTGCTATGTTGATATAAAACCTCATTCAATTAATCAAGAAGATCATACAAAATATAAGGCCATGGCCCTAGACATTAAAAGAGCCAGTTTGACTCAATCTATGGACTACCTTCAAAACTCCAACTTGCAAACATGCTAGGAAACAAAACTGTTCTCTTTCATGATATCATTGAAGCTGCTGTGGCAGAATAGGAAATGGAAGCAGGAAAGAAGCTAATAAATAGTCAAAAGACACATGTGATCTTAAATTTGGAGAGAAGAATTAAATGACAGTCATAGATCTGACAGGATACAGTTAGTTACAATAAAGGAAAGAGTGAAGAAGAGCTCCCAGATTTCTACCCTGGACCCTCATGTAAAGATGGTTTGGGCAGTAACAATGCAAACAAAATATGAAGAACTAATTTGAGATGCTAGAGAGAGGAAATTTTGTTTATTTTGGGATATTCAATTCTAAAGAATACAGTCTTCTTAAAAATGCTATCTATCTATCTATCTCTCTATATATGGGATAGATTTAGCCTCTGTGAGGTGAAGATATGTGATATCACAAGCAATTAAAAAGCCAAAAACCAATAACCCAGCAGGAGGAATATCACTGAACAAGAACACAATTCAACTTTGGTTATGTTGAATTTAATAGCCATCAGAACATTCATCCATTCATTGTTATTTATGTTCTTGCTCAATATAAGTTTTCTGAGTTTTTTGAGCAGCTACAGGACCAGAAACATCCAGTATACATGGTTAGCAGAAAACTGACAATTCAAAGACAAGAGCTCCAGACTGGGTCAAAGCTAGCAAATGGCACCCCAATCTATCTATTACTCAACAGCATTCTGTAGAATACAAACTCTATCATCATACCTACAAATGATACAACACACACACACACACTCTCTCTCTCTCTCTCTCTCTCTCTCTCCCCACTCTCTCTTTCTCTCTCTCTCTCTCTCTGAATGAAACTAACATGAAAGAAAAGAGAGTTGAGGCAAGAACCCAATGGAGAAAAATGAGACAAAGAAGGTGCTAGAAGAAATACAGAGGTGTGCTCAAAGTGAAGTGAAACTCCCACTGGTGTCATAGGAATCTAGAGAACAAATATATAAGTCCAGCCTATTATTAAACACTTCAAGTTTGTATCCCATGAATTCGTTCTTTTTTTAACTCTGGGCCTGAGTGCCTCAGCTCTTTAGCTCAAGGCTAGTGCTCTACCACTTGAGCTACAGTGCCACTTCTGGTTTTCTGGTGGTTTATTGGAGATAAGACTTTCACGGACTTTTTGCCCGGGCTGGCTTTGAACGGCAATCCTCAGATCTCAGCCTCCTGAGTAGCTAGGATTACAGGCATGAGCCACCAGCGCCTGGCTCAGGAATCAGTTCTAAATAAGGAATAAATAATTCATTTAAATTTAATCTGATTAATGAGCATTTAAGATGTGTGATTTATGGTATTGAGATTTTTCTTCTAGATTCTATTTTAATGAGTATAATAGAAATAGGAACAGGACTCTTCTTACCAACCCAGGAACACTAACACAACAGAAAATGTATTGGCTAGTTGTTCTGCTTATAGGCACGCTCATAGTTTGTTATCTCTAATTCTGAATCAGAGCCAGGCACCAATAGCTAATGCTAATGCCTATAATCCTAGCAATGTGGGATGCCGAGATTGGCAAGAGGCCAGTCCACATAGAAAAGTTAACAAGCTACCTTCTCAAATCAGAGCTGAGCCCTGTGGTGTGTGCTTGTTATCTGGGCTATAACAAGAAGCCTAGCACAGATCATACCCAGCCATGAAGAGAATAAGAATCTATCTCAAAAAAAAAAATGTATAGGGCATGGCTCAGTGGCAACTGAGCCACCTAGCAAGTGTGAGTACTCTGACAGAGTGAATACCACTACCACCAAAAATTTTAAAAAGAAAAGAAAATTCTGAATCTAAGCTGAGCCACTGTGCTCACAGCAGCCATGACAAGTTATCCTGAGCAATAATACACTTTTCTAAAGTCATACACTTAAGCATATGTTTGTAAATGAACTTTGGGTATTTATGGAGCCATATAAGTTAAGTGCTATGCTAAGGTATGTGGAGAACTGCAAAACATACACTCTAACTTTAAGGAGCTTAAATCACATGGAAAAGTCAGCCCTGCCCAGAGCATAAGAGAGCAAGCAAAGTGGTACGCTATAAAGTAGACTATAAATCTTTCTAAAGTTCAAGAAAAGGAAAGATTAATTTGGGTTAAAAGGAAGATTTCATAATAAAGATCTGGTATGCATACAGTAAGAGAAGGCATTCTGGATAGGCAATAGAATAAATCATCAGTAAGAAGAAGTGATCAGGTTATGTGAAAAAAAATGAGATAATCAGCCAAACTAAAATAGTTGAAGAATAAAGGAAATAAGATAGAAGAGTCATGATTACATTATACTATGGAAGGACCTTAGACCAAATGTTGGCAAGAAAAATAAAAATATAGAAATACAATGAAAAAATAATTCAAAGCCATCTGGCTAAAACACAGAGAAGCTTTATGGAATCACAGAAAAAAATCTTCCAACATTAAAATGATCCATATGAGGATTAGTCCTATATTATTTGAAAAATACACAAAAATTTTGCCAGTGTTCCCCATTCCTGTTTAGTATGTTCAGCACAGACCCAGCTACAGAGAAACAAATCCAACACACCCAATCCATAGTCTTCCATTGGGTGGGAAACAAGGCACACCCATAATACAACCTAACTTGCAAGTGCTCTTGCTGAACTCTCTATGGAGCAACACTGAGAAAGATTCAAAAGATGAACTTCATATTTCCCTTAGTTTTGGTATTGAACAATCCAACGTGTTTATATGTATGTGTGTATATATATATATATATATATATATATATAGTGTGTGTGTGTGTGTATACATATAGTGTGTATATATAGCATACATATATGCCATATATACTATACCATATGTAATATAAAGGAATTGGAATGTTCAATATATATAACTATATCATATACTATATTATATACATAGTATATATATATATACTATATAATGTATATATATATATATATATTCTTGAAAAGGATCAAAAAGATCCATAGATAACTTCTGAATTGGTATTATCATTTATAAAGCCAAAAATATGCCAAAGAAAACCTAAACTATGCAACAAAGATGCATAGGCCCATTGCTTAAATTATCCAAAATATTTAATGCATTTGTTTTTGTTTGTTTGTTTTTGAGGGGGTTGAGGGGGGTCCGATCATGGGGCCTGAACCTGGGCCTGAGGACTGTCCCTCAGCTCTTCAGCTCAAGGCTAGCGCTCTACCACTGGAGCCACAGCACCACTTCCGGCTTTTTTCTTTTTGCTTATGTGGTGCTGAGGAATCGAACCCAGGGCCTCATGCATGCAAGGCAAGCACTCTACCACTAAGCCATCTTCCCAGCCCTATTTAATGCATTTGTATATGAATCAAACTAAACTCATTTCCTTCTTTTCCACTCATTTCTTTTATAACTAAAATAGAAGTAGGATTTAGACAGGCCAGTATTTCATCAGACCAAAAAGAAACCACATTGAACATGCTAAACTTGTTCATGTGTTCATCCATTTTTTTAATGATGCTTTTTCACATAAAGCTACTTCTCAGTTCAGTACCTGCCCTTCTAGACTTCCTGAATGACAATCAGAATGAAGTGCAATAGGAAAACCCCAGGCCTAAATGCCTTTAGGAGTCCTTGAATCCAACACCCCACATTCTGTCCACTGTTCTTGTTGGCAGTTTGAACTCAGGGCCTTGCACTTCCTAGGCAGGCTCTCTTCTGTGGTGTCATACCACCAGCTCTGCTCTATACCAGTTATTTTTAAAATAAGGTCTTGCTTCCTGACAAGCTCCTGGACAGCAGTTTGTTTATTTTATACTTCTTTGTACAGGCATAGAACCCTGTTTAGCTTCTTCTGTTGCAAGGGATGCCTATAAATGTTTCTGCCTAGGTTGGCCTTAAGCTACAATCCTCCCCATCTCAGCCTCTCACATAGTTAGGATTACAGGTGTAAGCCACCAGTGCCCAGTGTTGTGCAAATCCTTACAATGACAGACAATTCACCATTTCACACAGTAATGCAGTAAACCTTATTTTGTTTTTTACATCTGATTATGTAGTCCAGACTAACCTCAAACCTTTTGATCCTCCTGATTCAACTTTTGGAATGCTGGGATTAGAGACATGTACAACCATACTGGGCTCCAATGATTTAAACATCTACCTAATGTCTTTTATAATGAGCCAAAAGCTTTTCATATGTAAAATTCATACTGATGTGCACTGCAGCTGGCCCACCACGGCACCCACCAAGCATTTCTCTCAAATGCTGTATGTGGTTTTCAGTGAGAAAACCAATCCTCACTGAACAACTAGGCGCTTCTCTTTTGTTTCCACAGTAGCATGGCATCGCGGAAAAGCTAGGAAGGAAAAGGGAAGAATTCCCTATGTGAGATTTCCTTAGTTCCTGAAGGACTCTCAATATTCTACCTTCTTGAACGCAAGCTAGAAACTCAAAGACGCTTTTCAGTTCAACTTCATCGTCCATGTTACATAATTACGCCACCGCTGTGACTTAAGCACGTGTACCTCAAGGACTTTGTGAGGGAAAGGCAGGAAAATCAACAACTAGGTGGGGTTAGCAGGCAGTCGTGGTGCACACTCATATCAGGCTGAGATCTGAGGACTGCAGTTCGAAGCCAGCTTGGGCACGAAAGTCCATGAGGCTTATATTTCTAATAAACCACGAAAAAGCCCAGAAGTGTAGCTGTGGCTCAAGTGGTTTAGCACTATGCTTGAGGAAACAACACCACCACCTTAGGGACAGCATCCAGGCCCCCTGAGTTCAAACCCTGGGACTGTCACCACACACACACACACACACACACACACACACACACACACACACACAACTATATGAGTTTAAAGACAGATTGTATTATAATGGATAATTTTCATATGCAAACCTTTATGCCAAATGAGGGTATGAGACCCAGACACTGGAGGAAGTCCGTACAGTACCTGATGTTCAGCAGTTTCAGTGCATTGAGCAATACTCCTCTTTTGACATCGTAGTCTATTTTCTGATCAGTTCCGAAACTTGGGGCTCTGTTAATCTAAAATTTGCAAAGTACACAATGAGGGTAGCCCAATGGCAGAAGGTCAATAAATATTCAACGCATGTTTGTGAATCTTCTATCAATAGTAAGCTCTATGATAAAGGTCAACATTGGACATGGTGGATGGCCCATCATCACAGCTATACCCCTACACCCCTGCTGGCCAAGGGAATGCAGACAATGGCTTGTGAGCATGTCAATTGTCTTCAGCTGAGGATGTTCATTCACTGACAACATTACCTGGCCATTCTCTCTTAAGCCACAATCTTGTGTAATCTAAGCTTGAGCTTAGGAAAGTTAATAGTGATTTATCTTGACAAAAAGCTGAGAGGCGAGTAATAATAATGATGATAACTGTAAACATCTATTTATCAAGCACATTGAAATACCATCACATCTTCTTGATGAATTCATCTATGGTTGCCTAGAAAAATTAACTTTCTTTCTTTCTACCTGCCTCAAACAATAATTTCTCAATTTGCATTTTGAAAGGCCCTGACTCTTGAAGGTAGCTATAGACAAACCTCAATACCATTTTCTAATGGTATAAAGATGAGTAGGAATAAATAAACTAGATATGTGACTGTCCTGCAATCTGGCCTTATCCATGTCCAGAAATTCATCAAGGTGAAAGAAATAATGGTAAATGTCTTAAAATCCATTAAAAAATAATCTACTGCTTTTATTCGTCAAGGGCTGGAGTACATTACTTTTGTCTTTGTTCCCGCTGAATTTCACCATTGTTGTAGTGAGGATTAACTGACTTAGCAAGTAGTTAAGAAACTTGTTTCACTAAGTCAGTTGTTTGCTAGTGAGCAATGCTACACAGCTTAGTTCCTTGACCACCCATCTACCCTCGGGCTGTTCAATGAAAGTAAGTGCTACCAGTTGTAATGACGTAAAGCCATCACGGACCATGTGAATTCCACAACTGGTCCTGGAGGACACACCGCATTGCACTTGAACCCCGTCCAGTATTACCATGTGTCTAAGTACAAAGGTGGTACAGGTTAGCAACAAAACAACAACAACAGACAACACAACACAAAGGATCTCATGTAACAGCACTACCTAGTGTGTTATTTAACCAGTCGGTGAAGAGTATTCCAGATACTATCTACTCGTACATATTCACACAATTTATGTAATCTTCTAAATGCATCATGTGCAATCCACTTTTTTTTTGAAACACAGTGAGTGTGTTCCCCCAGAAAGGGTGCACAGCAGCACTTCCAGAAGCCGTCAGATCAGATGCTCACTTCCCTGTTGGTAGCTGACTGAAGGTGATGGGCTAATTCCCTTTCTCTGATGTGCTCTCCAAGACAAAATAGCCTGCTTATGATTTGACAATACCATTATCCCAGGTGAGTTTGAGAAACAGAGTTTATGATTCCATGACTTCAAAGCTCTAAGCATTTCCTCTCACAAGTTCAGAGAAAGGGGAAAGTAATAAATTTATTTCCTACGAAAAAGCTAAAAGCTTGTACCAGATGAATTCAAGTCTCTGACGAATTCAAATCTCTGGAATTTATGAGACAATTAATGATAGTGCTGGTGCCTCATAGAATAAGATTATAAAACAATATTGACAACTGGGTGCTAGTGATTCATACCTGTAATCCAAGCTACTCAAGAGGCTGAGATCTGAGGATCATGGTTCAAAAACCAGTCTGGGGAGGAAGGCTTATGATTCTTATCTCCAATTAAGCACCAAAAAGCCAGAAGTAGAGCTATGGCTCAAAGTGGTGGAGTGCTAGCCTTGTGCACAAAAGCTCAGGGACAATGCCCAGACCCTGAGGAAGTCAACCCTCCCCCTGCGCCTTGCATCAGCACAAAATAACAATAATGGTAATAATAGTAATCAGCTTATAAAGAAGTTAAATTAGTAAATACTATTAACATCCAAAGCTTCTTTCTTTTCAGAACAAGGTCAGTCATTTCATGTACATACCAAGGCCTCTGCAGTGGTCCGTGCTCTTCCTCTGCCCAACAGCAATCCTCTGACCTTCATCCTAGTTTTTCACAGTCCCCAATCTGTGCCCCAATTCTATAGCCTTCAAAACTCAACTCCAGTGTTCTTGCAAGGACATTTGTGAAGCTTTAGTACACACAGTTACACACAGAGATGAATCATTTTATTGTTGATCCTGTGTCCCTAATTATAACTATTTCTATCAAAAAGAATAAAAACACCCGAGTCATTTAGACCAGAGTATTTGATCTGATTCGTCTTATATCCCCACACTTAGTACAATGACTAGTAAGTAACTTAGTGAGTAACTTTTTAACTTACAAGTACTTAAAGTTTTAAAAGCATACTCATACTCAACAAAATTTTTCATTCCATAAATTATGTTCTATGCTTGAAAAGTTCTTCAGTTTTTCCACTCCTAATATTACTTGAAATTATTCTAATTTGCTAAAACTCTGCAGGTGTACTGGCGCACACCTGCAATTCCTGGCATAGTCAAGACAAGCAGAAGGATCATGAGTTCTAGGCCAGACTTGCTACATGGCCAAGCCAGACTCAAAAAAAAAAAAAAAAAAGAGGTTTTTCACATTCTCAGAAGCACCTTCTATTTTTTTCCACTTGGTGGCGCCAAAAGGTTTTTAATGATGTATATCAGCAGTGCCACAACAATTTCTGCTGGAAGCAAAATGCAAAGCAAGATCTAAAAATGGTTCATTTAACTCCTTCAATATACTAAATGTTCATTATACACAGGTTTTGATGACTGCAGAGTTTTTAATGAGTCTGTGGAATGATGGAGAGGATAAAAGATGGAAGAAAACAGAGTACTTTGAGCCTTTAAAAAACATTAAGCAATTCAGCCAGTCAATTCCGATTTAGCAATCTAATGGAGAGCTTTGGTGAGGGAAATGCTTTTTTAAAAGAAAACTAAAATATTTATAAAGCCATTATCCCTCTAATGATTTCAGACTCTCCTCTTCATGTGCATGCCTTCATCTCTCCTCCCCATCAGGATGAAAGACAAGTAGCAGGGGCTGGAAGAAAACACAGCTAAGGGTAGGAAAAGACTACTGCAGACAAAGCAGTTCATCTAAAGAAGAAAACTGCAGGCCTTAAGAAGATGAAGTTTCCATAGATCACAGCAAAGTTCTTTTGTATCCGGGGGATGTGGAAGCAAAAGATAGGCAAACCTACTCAGGTGTCATACTCCTGGGATTAAGGATAGACAAAAGAGAAAAAAAGAAAGAAAGAACAGCTAGCAGGGCATTCTGTTTCTTAAGAAATATAACACACTATTAACTCATAGGTGAGTAAATAAGCACACACACACACACACACACACACACACACACACACACACACACACATAATCTATCTTATCCTGATCTCAGCTATCATTTATTCAACTTGACTATACTATACAATTTCCCATCTCAAATCACTAACAGATCATCAATTTAAAATGAAAGTCAATTGCTTTATATCTTGTATAGCAATAGCAATATTTTCCTTTAAAAGCAATGAATTCTGGTGGATCATGCCTGTAATCCTAGCTACTCAATAGTCTGAGATCTGATGATCACAGATAGAAGCCAACAAGGGCAGGAGAGTCCATGAGACTCTTTACTCCCTAAAAGCACAGAACTGGTGCTATGGCTCAAGTGGTAGAATGCTAGACTTGAGCAAAGAAGCTCAGGGACAGTGCCCAGGCAATAAGCTCAAGCCCCAAGACTGGCAGAGAGAAAGAGAGAGACAGAGACAGAGAGAGACAGAGAGAGAGACAGAGACAGAGAGACAGAGAGAGAAGGAGGAAGGGAGAGAGAAGAGAAAGAAAGAGAAAGAAAGAAAGAAAACGAAAGAAAAGGAAAGAAAATTCTGCCAACGTTGTTGGGATATGTGATATTTTGTGCTAATTGCCTAAACATAGTATTTCAATAGCTATGAGAAGACAGGTCAGATCAGGGAGTTGAAAGCAAATTGCTGTATGGAGTTTGGCTAAACAAGAAAACTTCTAAGGTTCATTATGGGTAATAGAAATATAAGTATGAATAACAAAAATCCTATACAAAGCTAATTGTTTTCCTCCTTTACATTAATTTTTATTTTCTAAATGCTGTTATGTGACCTATAACCAAAAAAAATTATGAGCACTTATTTGTCCAAGGATGATTAACAAACCTAAAGGCAGTACAGACTAGACATGAGAGAGGGCCAGACAAGCACTAAGAGAATCTACGCCACTCGGGGGGTAGGTGGGTACTGAGCACTGAACACTGACTAATAAACAAATTGGAGCCCTTTCCCCCTGGGAAGTTTCAAGGGAAAAGGGAGCCTTCACGGGGAGCCCAGGCCTTCACAGGGAGGAAAAATAATATCTAGAGCTCACCAATTGGTAGGAGCCATAAGGTAGAGAGCACAAAGCAAGCAAGTAGCTACTCAGTAAAAGCAAACCCACATTTATACTCTATCTTTGGGCTAGAAATTCACTAAATGCTCATTTTTTTTTAATTGTGAAAATACCGTACAGAGGGGTTACAATTACATGGGCAAGGTAATGAGTACATTTCTTATCAAGCATTCTTGCCTCCTCCTTTGTTTCCCCTTCCCATCCCTGCTCTCCCATCTACCCCCTCTCCCACCACCCTGCTCCTCCTTCTGTGCCAAAGTTGTAAAGTTCGTTTTTCGACATGACATCTTATACATCTCATTGTTGCAATGGGTCCACCTGTATCCCTATTTTAAAAAGTTGCTTTTCCCTCCCTAAATGCTAATTTTAGAAAAGTACTATCACTCATTTTTAACTTCCCTAATCTAAAACGTTGAGTATGCAGGATCCTGGGTCTGAGAGAGTGGCCAGATAACGCTATCAGTGCACATGAGCACTCATGACTTTGGCTGTGGTAGGAGATGGTGTTCTCAGGAAGTGCTCTGCAGTTCCATCACCCCCACCCCTAGGGTCATGATAGAATGTTTCTTTCAGAAGGAGAAGTAGGGATAGAATGATGAGGGATAATTATTGAAGAGAAATTCTTTTTTATTTCCTTTATTGTTATTTTAGAGAATTCTTAGACATATTCTAGCCACTGAGTCTTCAATGTGTTCCTTCTGTATACCATATTTAGGCTCCATTCTTGTCAGTAAATGAGATAATATAATAAAAAAAAATGAGCCTGGCACTGATGGCTCATGCCTGTCATCCTAGCTACTCAGGAGGCTGAAGTCAGAGGATCATAGTTCAAAGCCACCTGGGTAGGAAAGTCTGTGAGACTCTTAGCTCCAATTAATCACCAAAAACCAGAAGCAGAGCTGTGGCTCAAGTGGTAGAACTTTTACAGCGCAGGGATAGCATCCAGGCACTGAGTTCAAACCCAGGGCCATGGGGAAAAACCCACACATACATTTGTTTTACTACATAAGGTATGTTGATGTACCTAACAAAACCCCAGATGCAATCCAACTATACCAAAGACAGAGATGGGAGACTCACGGTCTGAGGGCAAGTCCTAGTAAAAGCCTGAGATGCTATGTGAAGAATGACTAAAGCCAAAAGAGTTGGAAAGTGGCTCAAATGGCAGAACATCTGACTAGCAGGCAAGAAGTTCTGAATTCAATCCCCCTCTCCCCCTACCCAAAGAAAGAACTGTCATAACCTCTTCTTTCTTAAAGAAAGAATACTTTACCTCCAGAAGCCATGGCTTTAGTTTTCTATCCAGCAAAATATCAAATCCCAGCACTTCAAAGCAGACGCTTTCGCTTCCTGGAGGCTGGCCAGGTCTGCACATTCGATATGCATGCAGGACGTGAGGTTCTGCCACAATCAGAGTCTTTACCACCAATTCCTACGAAGACCGCAATAAAGAGAGAAGATGCCTTACCTGCACATATACAAACATGATCTGGCCTACAAAGTACCACTTAGGTCAGTATAAGTGAGTTCAGTGGCACCCAGCCTCTATCCCTGCTCTGACTTCGTTTCCTCTCTCCTGCTGCCTACTGTCCCCCAGACACACTGCTTTTCTTTGAGTGGTTCAGTTCCTCTTACCTTAGATCCTTTGTACTAGCTGTCCCCTCTTCCTGGAAAACCATTTCCATTATACTCAATGTCCGGCTTACTGACATTCAGGGAAGCTTTCCCTGATCTCCATTTAAAAGTAGCCATACAGCTTTGCTACTGCATTACCACATGCTGTGTATATATTGATCGTCAGGGGATGCTAAGCACTGACTGATCCGGTTGGGACCTTTCCTAGCATACCCAGCATGCTCCAGCACAGGAGACCTAGGCACTCCTCACTTGGCAGATAACCTAAAGACCTTTGGGTTTAAAAGTAAGGTTAAAAAATGATGAACTAGCAAACGGATAACTAAATGACGCTGAGTCTTTTCTGATTCTTTCAATTTAGAGAGAGCTATGTCTAATCAATTCTAACTTTTCATGGTTTTATTTCTTATCTGTCCCCCAAAGAAAGCTGAATTGAATTATATAGCCTTAATAACATTAAGCATGTTCAGTAGACACACTCTTCTAGCTTTGTGTTCTATTTAGTACTTCTGCTGGACTCCCTTTTTTCTTCTGATAAAGGATCTGGTCTGCCAAGAGTATCTTCATATCTGTTTGCTTTTCTTTCATCCTCACCATTTGGAATCTCATCTACCACCAGGGATTTGAGGATCAGCTACATCTCAGATGTGCACTTCAAACCTTTGCTTACCCTCTACCTATGGCAGTATTTCAAGTTCAACATACCTAAAGTATAACTCATTAGCATAGTTTCCTGGGCTTTAAACACCTCAGCTGCTACCCTGGGCACTAGAGGCTCACACTTGTAATTCCAGCTACTCGGGAGACTAAGATCTAAGCACGTGTTTCAAAGCCAATCTGAGCCAGAAAGTCTCTGAGATCATTATCTCCAATTAATCATCCAAAAAAAAGATAGAGGTGAAACTGTGGCCTCAAGAAGTAGAGAGGCAGTCTTGAATGAAAGAGCTAAGCAAGAGCTTCCAAGTTCAAGACTCAGTACAGGCACACACACACACACACACACACACACACGCACACACACACACACACACACACACACACATACATACTTCAGCTGTCAATGCCCTCCCTCCACAAATACTTCTTAAACCTATTATACATGTTCTTCCTCCTCAGCCCCACAGACCAGTACATGCCTCTCTTGTTGTATTTACATTCTGTGAATGACTTGTGTGCATTTTTCCCTTTTAGTCTGCACACTTTTTGGGTATTGGAACTTTGTCTTATATGATATGAATTTGAACTACCAACCAGATATAAGCTCATGTTGTTTACTGAATGAATGCCTGAATAAAAGAATTAAAATTGTTTCTTTCCTTCATATGCAAACCCAAGCTCTATATCTTCTTAAATAATTTCTTTCCGCATTATATCAGCTCCTGCCATACCTGCTCTCCCTGCAACTCTTCCTGAAAACCACATTGAATCATTTAATAATCCATGTTAATCTCATCCTCACCTCGTTTTTCCGAAGGTTTCTTTCAGACCATTCTTTTTACTTCATTTGTCTTCATGTGTCTTTAATGTATGTTTAATCAGCCTTGCACCCACTTGCAAGTTTGTCTTTTAGATGCATGACTCTTTTTGGGCTCATATAACTACTACTACTCCCCTCTGTCTACCAAGTTTGGCCTAAAATTTAGCCCAACACATCTTCTCAGCAGTTATTTCCTGCAAACCTCCAACAAACCACACATGACACTATGCACCACCTCTCACAAACCCTCACCAATGTTCACACCACTATGCCTTGGCTGCACTTTGTTCACACTTAGATTCTGTCTCTCCCGCAACTACTGGCAAAATCCCACTTGTCAAGATCTGCTTTAAAATGCTCTTTATCTGCCCAGTGTAATCTATTCTTTAAAATTCTTGGTGGTGTTTTAAATTAATGCTGAGGCAAGATGATTACAACTGCGGAATAATCTTACTGAAATATCACTCCAAAATTTAGTAACATCATGTTGATTTGCTTGTAGGAATTCTGTAAACCATTTGATGGAACGTTTGCTGCCTTTGTCTTCTGTTTCATCTCGCTCAAAATGCTCATTATGCTTATTCACGGAGTAGTTTGTCAGATGCATGTATAACTGCGTCTGTAACAAATGAGAATCAAAGTCATTACCCTCTATGAGATTCTTCAAATCTGTAGTTTCACAGAAAAGAAGGAATTCAAAGACCAAAAACAACTTTAAAGCTAAAATTATACAGATTGCTGGAGTCAGTGGCTCATGACTGTAATCCTAACTACTCAGGAGGCTGAGATCTGAGAATCATACTTGGAAGCCAGACTGGACAGGAGAGTCCATGAGACTCTTATCTCCAAATCACAAAAAAATCCAAAAGTGGAGCTTTGGCTCAAGTGGTAGAGTGTAAGCCTTAAGCAAAAAAGAGCTCAGGGACATCACTTAGGCCCTGAGTTCAAGCCACAGGACTGGCTTAAAAAATACTTATACAGCTGGGCGCCAGTGGCTCATGCCTATAATCCTAGCTACTCAGGAGGCTGAAATCTGAAGATTGCAGTTCAAAGCCAGCTTGGGCAGGAAAGTCTGTGAGACTCTTATCTCTAATTAACCACCAGAAAATCGGAAGTGGCACTGTGGCTCAAGTGGTAGAGCACTCACCTTGAGCTGAAGAGCTCAGGGACAGTGCCCAGGCCTAGAGTTCAAGCCCTATGACCAACAAAAACAACAAAAATAATAATGTACAGACTGATAATTTTATAGTTATTTAAGTAATAGTCAAGGAAAAGAATGACACATTTCCTTTGAAGGCCTGAGGATGTAATAACTTAAAGTTGTGTGTGTGTGTGTGTGTGTGTGTGTTCCTCACAATATTATCTACCAGAACACTGTATCAGATAAATAGAGTAGAAGATATCAAGTTAAAATGTGAAAGTACACAGAGCACTTGCCCAGTATGCTTGAAGCCCTGTATTCAAATGCTGGCACCTCAACAACAACAAAAAAGAAAAACATGAACATACATATTGCTAAACAAGAGCAATGCTCTTAAGTCATTTTGATGTATTATTAATATTTCCAGCCTTTATCATTTGCACCCAAATTTGAGGAAATAAGTTTTCTGAGAAATATTCTTTTCAAGAAAAAGTGGAAGGAAGGGAGGAAGGAAGGAAGGAAGGAAGGAAGGAAGGAAGGAAGGAAGGGAGGAAGGAAGGAAGGGAGGGAGGGAGGGAGAAAGGGAGGGAGAAAGGGAGGGAGAAAGGGAGGGAGAAAGGGAAGAAGAAAGGGAGGGAAGAAAGGAGGAAAGAATAGGGAAGGAGGGAGGGAATGGAGGAAAAGAAAATTCAAGCAGGCAGCAGAGAGAAAGAGAGAGGGAGAGAGAGGGAGGGAGGAAGGGAACTACCAAATATTCCTGTACTGACTCCTCCCCTCCTGTACTGACTGGGTCACACTATTTTTCATTACCAAGACAGTACAATTAAGCTTCCACCCACAGAACACACCTGAAGGTGCTATACAGATGTCTAAATGATTAACATTGATGTACAGAGCTCCCATATTGGGATCTTTGGTTCTAATCTTTTCTAAATCCTTATTTCTTTAGTATGAAAATTTATTGATAAATAAGCTTGAAAGAAAATCCAAGATTTAAAAGTTCTCATAAAGATTATACATCTAATGGTTCTTTATCAAACTGTATGAAGCTTCTTTATTGACTCTGTTTTTAATTCTTCCCTCTTCAGATTCCCACTCCCAAAGAATACTCTGAATATATGATTACTATTTTACTATTTTGATTTCTTAATCATCAGTTACAACCATGTCCTATTTTATTTTCAGTGTAGTTTGTTAGGGCACTGATATTAAGATCTTTGAAACAAAATAGGCAGAAATATCACTTGTGCTACATGTAGCTTACTGATACATGTGCAAACTAAGTAAAATTTTGATGTCTTTCATTCATTAATTGATATTTTAGGAGCATCCACAAAACATCTATGAACCTCATAGCACCTTGCAAAGGTAAAACTGACTGTATGCTACCCTGTTTGCCAGTCTTTAGGCTTGTTACTAAATTGGTTTTTACTCAAAAACTTTTGAAGAACTAAATAAATGACCACTACATGGTAGCACTACGTGGTAACAGGAAAAGTGAGTGTCTAATATATTTGAACATTTATAGGTCTCTGTCTTATTCTCCTTATATAGAGGCTCTAGATACTTAATTCTGACACAAATATATAAGTCATTCCAAATATACATGCTGTTTTTAAATTCTAAAATTACAAAAAGACAGATACCAAGCAGGAGTCTGCTATCCAAAAACAACCAATACAACCATTATGCTTTATGTTTTTTCCAAGGCCTTTTTTTCATAAACTTACACATCACTGTGGTCTCATTTTACATAATTTTTTAATTCAACTTTTAAAAAATCACAAAATTGTTAAGGTGGTTAGAGATTACGTAGGAGAGCAGCAGAGTAGAATACGATGCATGTGAAAACCAAAGCCAAAAGCTTAAGAGCAAGTGGCAATGGCATTTCCCTTCTCTTCATTTCTCATTCTGACTTCCAAATCCATCGTACTTAAGCAAATTATATACACATAGCTTAGTATGTAAGAACAAAGCACTTTACTACAAAAAAGAATCCTTCCCAGCCTTCCCATGTCCAATACCATCTAAAGATAAATACTGCCTTCTGTATAATCCATTTTTATCCACTTCAATTATTTTAATCCCAATAAGATAACTAATCTCAAATTTTGTCTATAGTTCCCATATTCCTTTATCCTTTCCCATTGTCCAGGCCTAACACTAAGTTTACTCTTGATTTCCCTCTTTCTCGTTTTTATTCTACAAATCCAACCTGTCACCATACAATACAAATGCTATCCATATTATTCTAAATGTACCTGAAATCTATGTTCATATTTTTAGTCAGCTCCAACTGCTCTTTTTTCTCAGTATCTCTTCCGTTCATATGTGATTTGACTAAAACAGTTTCTTGTCTCTTGTACTCCATGCTTTTTCTACCCATCTCCACCTCAGATTCCCCACAACTGCACATCAGGTGAATTTGAAAATTCACATCCCATTCCTTCTCTGCTTAGATTAAGACCTTTCAAAGCTTCATCTTAAGCTAAATTCCAAAATCCTGGATGTGGCCATCAAAATCTTCAATAATCTAGTTTTATAACCTACCATTCTCATCTCTGAACAGGCATTTCTTTTCACCTGCACTTTAGCCAACCTGAACTCGTCTGATCTTTTGACTCCAATACACTCTTATGCCCGAAGCTCCACCACACTCTGCCCTGCTCCCCCCGAAACCTGGCCAGCTCCTCATTACTCAGACTTCAATTGACACACTTCCCTCCCTGCCCTTTTCTCTAGCTGGGTGAGGTACCCTGCTGGTACTACCATAACATGACCTATTTGTTAGGACTTCATTCTTACTATTATATATTGTACTCATCTATAAAACTTTCTGCCTTCCCATGACACTGCTGCTTCTGTGAGGTCAAGTACTATATCTGTCTCAGTCAGTGTCTTCCCCAAAATGACACAATGCCTACAACATAATAGAGTCCAAACATTACTTGGTTATTGATATAAACACATCTTATAGCCATTAATTAAATATTTATTCCTTTTGATGTCCTTTCCTATAAAAACTTCTCTTTTTTTCTTTGCTAGGTTTACAATATTGCAATGTTAACACTTGGCTATATTTCAAGTTAAAAATATTACCATTCTTAAGCCAGGTGCTAGTGGCTCATTCCTGTAATCTTAGTCACTCAAGAGGCTAAGATCTGAGGATAACTGTTTGAAGCCAGTCCAGGCAAGAAAGTCTGTGAGACTCTTTTTCATGGTGGTGGTGGTGGTGGTCGTGGTCATGGGGCTTGAATTCAGGGCCTGGGCACTGCCCCTGAGCTCTGAGCCCTTTTTCTCAGGGCTAGCATTCTACCGCCTTAAACTACAGCTCCACATGTGGTTTGACGGAAGTTAATTGGGAACAGAAAAGTTTTACAGACTTTTCCCAGGCTGGCTTTGAACCATGATCTTCACTGAGTAGCTAGGAGTACAGGCATGAGCCACCAGTACACAGCTCAATACGCTTATCGCCAATAAACTACTCCAAAAAAAAAATAGAAAGTGGAGCCATGGTTCAAGTGATAAAGTGCTAGTCTTAAAAAGAAAAGCCCAGGGACAGTGCCTGGGCTTGAGTTCAAGCGTAGGACCAGCACACACAAAAATATTACCATTCTTAATGATGGTAAGTCTATACATATTGAGGAAGAATAATAACCAGTAATTTCTCAAACTGTGAAGCAATAAACTAATTTTAAATAGTTAATAAATCATAATTTGACTTCCTTAAGTTATAAATTATAGCTGATGATTTTTATGATAAGCTACACTTAGAACTTTCATGAAATATGATGATTGTAACAAAGAAAAATGAGTAGGAAAATACCTACAAATTTCTCTCCTTAATGATTTTATGATGCACACTGAAACTGTTCATTTGTGTCTTGATTTCACATTTGTCAGTGTAAATTTTACAACTCTCTCTTTTGTTCTAAAAAAATGATTAACTACTGTCTGATAACTTTTGCTCTTTCCTCTCACATTCTACATGTTCACATCCTACTTTTTACACAAAGCCCAATCAAATGTCACACCCCCCCCCGCGGAAGGCACTGAACAAACTCATTGCAGTTTACTGTTACTTCTCAGTGGCATACTGTTTATGTTTCTACTAGAGTCATTTCTGCAGAGGACTTCTGCATATAGAGAAGTATACTCTGAAATCTGGACTGTGCTCACAGCACTCAAAAGTACCCACAGAGAGGAAACTTATTTCTAATTAATTGCCTAGATCACACAACTTTCTTTTCCATGTTGCCCAAAGTTGTCTGTAAGTTAAAGCAATCTTGCTTATGTGCATTAGTCTTCTAGACCATATACTCCTAAGAAGGAAATCTGATTGAAATACTCTCTATATGTAATAAACATTTTCCAAACTATTTATTGGGAAAATGAATGGAAGTGTAAGTTCTCCCTAGTATCACTTACCAAATTGGACTCATTTGGTGGGATGTACTTCTCTGTTCCCATTCGCACAAGTCCATCATGATAGAGAAAGACTTTCAGTGGATCACATGATGTTACCAGAATATAAATTCGTAAATCAAACTTGTAACCCTCCATGAGGAAAGGCTTTTCAATGTATTCTTGGACAATTAAATGATCCTGAGATGGAAGTTTGTCACCATTTCTTATCAAAGAAATCCTAAGTTCATGGGAAAAAAGGGAAAAATAATATGATATGGAGGCAAGATGTACCAAATGTTATCTATAGACTCAAGGAGGAAACAGTAGTACAGGAAAGTCCGAAACTGGGTACTCCACAAAAGCAACAAATGCGGGGGGAGTCACGATCAACTCTTGGAGGTGATGATCTGAATACAAGCTTGCAACGTTCAAGTAACTGAATCAGGAAACAACAACAAAAACTATATATCGGCATAAAAGAGCTCTATAGCATTTTAATTTCTTCTAGTTAGAGTTCATCAATGGAGCTGAGCAATATCCTAGACTCCCAGCACAGATGCCTGGTTATGGAGTATGCTGAATGGATCTTTGTCTGATGTTTCTCTATTTTTACCTGTTTAGGGTTCCTGGGCAAGTCAAAAGGCCTGTTTTAAATCTGCCTATCTCAGATCTGCACTAGCACTGAAGTGACTGTGAGGACTATTTTTAAAATATATTTAAAGGCAAATATATTAGTCCCTGTTGTATAGGGCAACAAATATCACTTGGAACAAATAACACAGAAATGATGGGGAATGGAAATCTTTAGGATTTTGAAAAGCTCTGACATTTCTGAGAATCAAGAAGGCAATGTGTATGTCAAAAACCTATAAAAATTCAGGATAGACATGAGAAGGACCTAATCTCTTGTCTCTTGGCTAAACATCAGACTTCACAATCTAAGGTGGAGCTGTAAACAGTCTGTCAGAAGATTGAGGGCATGCTTCCATAAGCACATTTGCAATGACTGGCATCCCTCAAGGTTTTTTTTTTAATACCAGTATTTAAGGACACTTCTATTCATTTACTAGATGATTAATAAACTAGACAAATGAAAACTTAAATGGTCACACAAAATTAAGAATTTAGACAAGAAAGCTAGTTCTAAGAGTCCCTAAACAAAATATGGGCACTACAATGAACAGCAACAACAAAAAACCATGTAGAGGGATGGAATGTGACTTCCAGTCTTCATATATGATAACATTCAAAACATTCAGATTATACTCAAAACATATGAAGAATGGAAAGACAAAAATATAGCTCATAAACAAAGATTTAAAAAAAACAGAACACCAAAGCCTTGACAATTAGCTTATTAGATAAATGTTTAATAACTATTTGAAAAATTATACCAAATGCTCAAGGAAACTACAGAAAAAGGGAAATCATAAAACCAATGCCTCATTAAAAATCCGATTTTTGTCTTAGCAAAAATTCTAGGGTTGAAAAGTATAGTAACTTTAATGAAGAGTCATTAATAGGACTATAAGATATGTTTATAAATATAAAAAGAAGCCAGGTGCCTGTGGCTAATGCCCATAATCCTAGCTACTAAGAAGGCTGAGATCTGAGGGTTGCAGTTTGAAGCCAGCCCAGCAGAAAGTCCATGAGACTCTTATCTATAATTAACCACTAGAAAACAGGAAGTGGCACTGTGGTCCTGAGTTCAAGTCCTATAACTGAGAGAGAGGGGGGAGAGGAAGAGAGAGAGAGAGGGAGGGAGGGATGAAAATGGAAGGAAGGAAGGAAGGAAGGAAGGAAGGAAGGAAGGAAGGAAGGAAGGAAGGAAGGAAGGAAGGAAGGAAGGAAATTTAAAACTTGAAGATATACTAATTGAGATTATCTAGACTGAGGAGCTGAAACAAAAAAACCAATCAGATAAACTACATAGAGCCAAAGGAAACCTGTGTGAGGACGTATCTATAAGCATACCAATATACACATAATGGCAATCTATGAGGAAGAGAGAGAGAAAGACTCTAAAGAATATTTGAAGAAATAATGACAGAAAATGTTCCAGTGTAGTGAAAATATAAATTGTCTACAATATCCAAGAGCTTTATTAACTTCTAGTGGGATAAATGCAAAGAAATGCACACCAAGGCAAATTATAATCAAACTGTTAAAAGAACACCAGAAAAACAACTATATAGGCAAATATAAGTCACTATTAGTAGACTTCAGTGTGCAATACCTCATTTTCCTTATAGTTTAAAAGACAACTATATAAAGTAATCATTACAAATCTATGCTAGTTAGCATGACTTACAGAGATATAATTTGCAACCTCAACAATAAAAAGGGATAGAGCTATGTAGGAACAAAAAACTATATTTTATCAAAATGAAATTTGATACTAATGCAAAAGATTATTATAAATTATGATGATATATAATCTCAGGATCACCACTTAGAAAACTCAGAAATAAAAGAAATGACAGGGAATTTAAGTGGTACACAAGAAGAGAGCTACTTATTTAACAGAAAGCTGTAATGGATAAATCAAAGAACTGAAAGTATATAAAACACAGAGAAAATATAGTAAAAGGTAGAGTGTAGCCCCTTTTTCCATAATTACAATAAATTAAAAATTTTTAGGGCAAGATTTAACAGGATGGATTTTTTTTAATATAGTCAACTATAGGTGGTCTACAAACGATTTGCTTAGAGACCAAGATCGAAACAAATTGAAAGTGAAAGCCTAGAAAAGAAACTGAATGTCCACAATCACATGGATTAGCTAGTACTAGACAAAATAGACTGTAATACATTGTTACAAAAAACAAGGCATGATATTATACAGTGATAGTGATTTTAGCTAAGTATAATTATGCCACAATATTGTGAAATTTATGCAGTCATGTAATCTCAATAAAGAAACATTTTGGGGAAAAAAGAAATGTCCATGCATGCAGAACATATAGCAATTATAAATATATGTGCACTTAATAACAGAGCTCCAACATGCATCAAACAAAAACTCATAGAAGTGAAGGGAGAAAATGTAGAACAATGATAGTGTTCTATAGTTCACTTTTGATAGCAGACAAAACAATGAGACAGAAGATTGACAAGGAAACAGATATACTCAACAGATGCTAGAAATGTCCTTTGTATTATACATTGTATTACAGCATATTAAACCCAGGCAATGAGATTTATTCTATTGTCTGCTTTTCTGCTTATTTTTTAGACTGTAATCAAAATAAACTGGAAGAGTATTCTACGTTTAGCAACAATTTTAAATGCATAGAATATTAGATGTCTAACATTAAAATTGAGAAAAATATGAAATTCATTTAGCCTTCTCCAAAATATTTGTTCATACAAATATATAGGAAAGCAGTGTAATTGTAAGGAATTAACATAAAATTTCCAATAACACACTTTAGATTTAAGCCACCAACTCAAGTTTTAAAATAATGTGTGATCAAATCATTACATTTTGCCTAAAAGTTAAATTCTTAGAATAGTTTAGCTAGTAGCTACCATTTTTCCCATAGTATTTCATATAAAAATTAAGATGACTCGGGTGTATTTCAGCAAAAACAGCCTCTATCACACTTCCTTCTTTTAAAAAAAGTGCACTGCAGAAAAATAAACACAAGCAAGCAAAAAGAAGCAAGAATTTTAAGTTGTACTTTCTATTCTCAACTAGCATGCTGAGCTCTTGGCACACTAAAAATGTGCCTCCCCATTTTCAATTCAGTTACCATGAGAACATGAAAAAAAATATCTATAAAGCAAAGAGCACACATATTGTCCTTCCAGGCTTCTAGCTATGAGAATAAAATTCCTCTCCATTTCTTTCTCCAAAGCAACTTAGCTCTTCTACAGCAACCATTTTACTCTCCAGACTTATTAAAATTATTGTAAATGTGTGTTTTGTGTTTATGAAGAAACCGTAAACAGCTCTTTTTCCCCCTCTGCTATTATCTCCTGTTAAATTCTAACATCTTGTTGCTTTTTATTTTTTATTTGTGTTTATTTTTGGAAGGAGTGAGGTATAAACTCAGGATTTCACAATGGATAAGTAGGCACACTACTGATGGAGTCACACCGCAGGACCTTCTTCCTCGGGTTACTTTTTTGAGATAAGGTCTCAGTTTTCGCTCAGGCCAGCCTGGACCTCAATCCTCTTTTTACAGCTTTCTGCCATAGCTGGAATGACAGGTGCACCCTACCACACCCATCTTTTTCTGTTGATCTGAACTCTCACAGTTTTCCTTGACTGGCCCTGAACCATGATCTTCTCAATCTCAATCTTTCACATAACTGGGATGAGAGGTATGTGCCACTGAGGGTAAAGCGGGGGCCCACAAACTTTGTTCCCTAGCTACCTCTGAACCAACCACCATCCTCCCAATTTCTACCTCCCCAATACCTAGGATGATAAGGGTGAGCCACTAGCGCTAGGTCTAAATTTTCAGTTGAATTACTGAAGCGTATAGGGCAGGTTAGTAGAAATGAGTCTCAGTAAGGATTTAGTTCCTAAAAAAGCAATAATTAGAAACTTATTTTCTCACAATGAAACTCAATCATGCGTAAGTATGCACATTTATCCTTTCCATATTGATTTTAATATTACTGATTATAGGGAAAAATAAACTTACCCGTGACCCATTGCACCATTAGCTGGTTTTACTATAAAAGTTTTCTGTTTCCGTTTTTTCTTCAGTTCTTTCACATAATTCTGGAATTGAGTGTATTCAGCAGGGAAAATCCATGTTCGAGGAATAAAAGTATAATCCAGAGGCCTAGTCTTGATCATTCTACAAATCACAAAGAATATAAAGGACAATTTATATTCAACCTCATAAATCTTACTTCTCTGTGCTAGCAGTACTACAGAAACTTAACATGCCTCATTCCTTCAAGTATCCATTCATTTATTGATCTGCACAACAAATACTGTCATGCATCTACTATGTACTAGTCATAGGTCTAGACACTGACATTCATCTGTGGAAAAAAATAGACAAAAACGTCTGCCCTGTTAGGTACTAATTTACCCATGCGTATATCAATGATTTATTTGATTATACACTGTGCTGGGCACTAATGACAGTAAAATACATTAGCATGGTAACTGATTCAATTAATGGACTGACAGGCTCTTAATTGCAAAGGAATCTGGTAAGTAGAGTCAGGCTCATAGGCAAGATAGCACTGTAACTGTCATTAACTGTCTAAGGGTACGGGCAGGGAGTAGGAATGATTCATGGCCAAAGGTCATAAATATGATTTCTGGATATCAGAGTCATCCACAGGGAGCAAATTCTGGCTCATTTTTGTGCCACTGTGTTTCAGAATCTAACTCTTTTTTTTTTGAGAAAAACCACTTGAAAGACTGAATCAATAGCACTTTTATTTATGTGACCACCAATACATGTGACTACATGGCTCATATCTCCTGATGTTTGTGTATTTGCTGTAAATTAGGCTGTTTATTTAGATATGCAATTCAATGAGAATACATAGTATCTTAATACTGTGAAATGTCGACTTTTGATTGCCACCAATGTTAGCCATATTGCACTTATCAATTCCCAATAAAAAATAAGAAAATTATGAAATATTTTTAAATATTGCCTCTTCAAAAGAAGACTTTTTGAAATGTATGCAAGTCAGAAGTGGTTCAAGTGATAGAGCACTAGTCTTGAGTAAAAGAAACAGTGCCCAGGCCCTGAGTTCAAGCCTCAGAACTGGCAATAAGCAAACAAAAACACAGGTCTTTTATGTTTTTTTGTTTTTTCTGAACGCTGGGCCTGGGCGCTGTCCCTCAGCTCTTTAGCTCAAGGCTAGCGCTCTACCACTTGAGCCACAGTGCTACTTCTGGCTTTTTTCTTTTTTCTTTTCTTTTTTTTTTTTGCTTATGTGGTGCTGAGGAATCGAACCCAGGGCCTCAGGCATGCAAGGCAAGTGCTCTACCACTGAGCCACCTTCCCAGCCTCACAGGTCTTTTATGAATGAGCAGATATAGTCATCAGATTGGGGGAAAAAAAATTTAATGGGTATCCTAAGCTACACACTGGTGTCTCATGCCTGTAATCCTAGCTACTCAGGAGGCTGAGATCTGAGGATCGCAGTTCAAAGCCAGCCAGGGAAGGAAAGTCTGTGACACTCTTATCTCCAATTAACCACCAGAAAACCAGAAGTGGTGCTGTGGTTCAAGTGGTAGAGCACCTGCCTTGAGCTGAAACACCCAGGCCCAGAGTTCAAGCCCCATGACTGACCAAAAAAAAAAAAAACAAAAAACAAGGTATCCTATAATCCTATATGCACAGAAGGAGAGCCTAAACTCTAACAGTAGAGAATATACATCAACCATTTCAACAGCACAACTGGTGATTGATATAGTTATAATTCAAGTATTTTCACAAAGAGAATCCTACAAAAATGTAAGTATGTTGCAGAAGGAAACAATTACCAAGCCTAGCTATTTAATCCATTTTAAACCCACAAACTAATCTCAATACCAAATAGAATAATATTGACTAGCTTAAAAATTAAATACCAAAGACATCAAAATAAAGCACAGTATCAGTGCTAATGTTCTGTTTTGGTTTCCTATACACTTTTAAGTGTTTTTGTTATATTTAAGAATGATAGGAAATTAGATAAAGTTACAATTTTAATTAGAAAAATGTCCTTTAAACCTAACCACGTGACAGGAGGGAGGACTGGGAGAGCAAAATGTCTGAAATGTACTCATTACCTGACTTATGAAAACTAACCCATCTGTTCATCACTCGTGTAAGAACAATTCTTTAATAATTTTAAAGTACTAATCATGTGGTGTTTATGTGGTACCATTATTTCACAGATATATATTTTTTAACTTAAAGCACATACATGTTCAAATGAAATACCTTACTCAACAGGGGTAAACTACCTCAAAAGAAACATACAGACTTTCTTAGGAATTTGGAAATCTGGGATAATTTCCACTCTGTCAGGGATTGACTCAGTAATATTAGACAAGGGGTTAACTCTATCTTTATAGTACTAGGCCATTACTTTTTAATCTAACAGAAACTCTTCTACCTTAAGGAGAGTTTGAAGGACCCTGGAATGGGAACTGGCCTGTTTGTAAAAACCTACTAAAAGGTTCACCCTTACCTCCCTCAACTATGAAAACTATTGTTCTCTTCTCTACAGAGCATACAGAGCTTTCCAAATTACCAACAAGCCCAGTCTCCTCACCCTCACTTCCCCTATGTCACACAAAATGAAGACAGTAATTCTGAACACTATCGCCCTTCAGCTAAACTCCCATCTCTGTGCCCCAGCTGCACTGGGCATTATTTCAGCATCATGATTATTCATGCTTTCTCCCTCCACATGACTTTGGCTCATGTTATCCTTCCTCCCTGGATGCTTCTTACCAACCATCTGCACTTTTAAACTCTATCTACCTTTCATCTATTGCTTTCCTTATCTTGTCCTCAGGGCAACTCTCCCACACCTCCATAACTAGGTCACAATAGCTCTCACACACCAAGTTTAGAGCTCTGTGCCTCTACTTTAGCACTTAGAAAAGCTGCAGTTGGATAGTATGGAAATCATGTCTGTTTAATTATTTTATGTACCCAGATGCTGGCACTGGGCCGGTATACAACAGATGTGTGGTAAATATGTGTTCTATGATGAAAGAAACTAACGACTCATGCCCCAAATTTTCCTCTGAATCCCACTCTTGGAATCCCGATAGTCTTACAACCCACAGAATGTCATCCTGAAGACCTCTCCTCATAGCAGTCTTCTCCTTTTATCAGTTCTGTCTCTAATACTTTTCAATTTCAGCTGGCAGCATGGCTCAAGTGGTAGAGCACCTGTCTGATAAATACAAGGCTCTGAGTTCAAAGCTAGGACAAAAAGAAAAAAAGAAAAACCCTTCTATTTATTCTCTCTTCCCCATTGCCATTCTCTTGTGGATTATTAGATGTTTCTATTTCTTACAAAGTTTTCTCTCTGTGTCCCAACTACATTGAATTCATTATCTACAGTCCCACCATTACTAAAATTATTTCTCTGCTTAAATTCATTTAATAACATTTTTCTCAGAAAAAAATTATTTAAATGTTGAGGGGATGAAGAGATGAATGAGTGACATAAAATATAGTGGCATACCTGGCTGGATCTTTGTATACGCAGAGCCCCTCTACATCCTACATAGCCAGACAACTACTATAAGGGTCTTCAAAAATCATGTTGGCTGAAGCATCCATATGGTCTCTCTTGTCTCTGCCTGTCATCTTCTTACCTTCTCCTCAGGGTTCCATTTTGAATTCTAAGCTAGGAAGCCTACTCCAAGCTTCTCCAATCTGAGTCACTATCCTTGTCAGCACTACTGCCCAAACACAGCATCACCAAGTCTTTTTTCTGCCTTGTACTTTTGTGGTATATTAAAATTAATGATCTCTGAAACAAAGACTAATAAAAAAAAACTACTGAGTTGCTGGCCACCAATATCTCACACTTGTAATTCTAACTACTCAAGAGGTTGAGATCTAAGGATTGAGGTTCAAAACTAACTCTAAGCAGAAAAAGATGCTTATGTCCAGTTAACCAGCAAAAAGTAAGAAGTAGGGGCATGGCTCAAGAGGTAGAGAGTTAGTTATAAGCGTACAAAGCTCTTAGTTCAAGCCTAAATTCTGGTGTGTGCACGCACACGCACACACACACACTCCAATTAGTAAATAGATGCATAATGGCATTTACAAGGAAGACATTAGTGTTGATGTAATAATAAACACATCCTACTGAACTTTCTCTAGGAATAGGCCTCTATAATTTTTTTTCAAATTCTGTTTATCACTCAACATTTCAAGCTAAAAAAAAAAAGCCAAAGCAATCTAAACATTCACAGAAACAAACACAAGGAACGAAATCTATAGTTCAGTCAACAAATCACTAGACAGATTTTTTAGTCTATAGTTTTTCTATGAAATATCATTACTTTAATACTAACCTCAGAGATAAATATATGTGTATATGTGCATATATAGCCCTGAGTGAACACGCATATATGTGTCTGTGTGTATGAATGTGTGTACATGCACTAATATAGTGCCTGTCATATGCTGGATGTTCAATAACCAATATGAAAACACACATACACAGCATATGATGAAGCAAACTAGTTTCTGCAAGGTTTAACTGACAAAAATATCCATTAAATGCCATATAAAGATTATTCCTTGCAGGGGGGAGGGGGAGCGGGGAGGTTTGGGTGGGGGGGCAGGGGGAGGATGGGAAGGGATGGGAAGGGAAACAAAGGAGGAGGCTACAATGCTTGATAAGAAATGTACTCATTATCTTGCCCATGTAATTGTAACGCCTCTGTACAGTATTTTCATAATAAAAAAAGAAAGAAAAAAAAAGATTACTCCTTGAATTTTAAAACAAAAATCTATTACCACCAAGCACCAAATGGCTCAAGCCTGTACTTCTAGCTACTCAAGAGACTGAGATCTGAGGATCATGGTTTGAAGCCAATCCAGGCAGAAGAGTCTATAAGACTCCTAGCTACAATTAACAATTCGCTTTGGGAAACAAAGGTGAGGGAGAGTACTCAGGCCCTGAGTTCACCAGGACCAGCACCCCCAAACAAGACCTCTGTTACTAAACATATAGCATGTTGTAGTAAAAGGAGCACCAAGATTCAGAACTCTGGGACATAATTCCAGCTCTGTTGTTAAGCATTTGACTTTGTAAAAGCTACTCATTTTCCTGCATCTTGTATATACATTTTTCTAACTTGGGGAGGGGAAGGGAAATAACAAAATGCTGAAATATAGATATAGGTTAAACCATTGTAACAACGAGAAGTACAAGACACTATGTCATATATATATATATATATATATATATATATATATATATATAAAGCTACTCATTTCTCTGACCTTCAGTTACTTTCTTTGCAAAGTACTACTAGAGCCAAGGAATTGACCAGAAATTGCTGTTTAAAATGTCATTTCTTCATCTAAATACCATTTCAAATCATTGCAACATTATTAAAGGTATCTCTATAATATCCGTAAAATGAATAAGAAAATGAATTACTTGGTCATATTTCTTGCTAAGAAATCCTTCCTACAGATCTCCCCCATTCCTGGAAAATGGTTGATCCTCTGAAAAAAAAAGATAAATATTAATATTCTCACTAATTTCATGAGTACCTTCATTTATACCACAACAGTTAAGCCTATCTTTGAAGATTTATGTTTTAGTGAACTTGAGATTTTTTAATTAAATGGCCTATTATTAATTTGCAGAATTAAAAAATCAGTGGTACTCAGAGAACAAAACTGTAAAAAAATTCTAAAGAAATCAGAAAAAAGTATTAACTTAAGTGGTAAAGTTCTGGTGCCTGTGTTGGATAAATGGCAAATTATTATCAAAATAGTTTTAAGAATACTAGATTTACTGAAATCATACATATAGGCATTATAAAACAAAAAAGTAAAAAAGAATTTCCACTATTTGCCCCTGTTGGTCACTGGTGTACTAATACTCTAAACTAAGAGAAGATGGGCTGCATAAAATATAAAATTCCTTTTTAATTTGATGTCCATCTTCTCTGTGTTACACTATATAAACAAAGGCAGACTGCATTCATGTAAACCTACACCTTGCAAAGTATTTTCACATCCTGAACTCCCTATGTAATCTATGCCATGTTACCCAACTTTTAAGTGTGATGAAAGAAAAATTTTTTCCTATCAATTCTTAACTAAAGAAAGAGGATACAAATTGAACTTGAAGAGGATGCAGGCTTCTGGCAGGGAGTCCACATGACTGGGTATCAACAAAACAGGCTATTCAAGAAACTTAGAACTGAAATCTACTCTGTCAACAGATTGAGAACCTATTAATTAAAAAGAAATTATGACTTGAAAAAAACAGATCATAGCCGGGCGCTGGTGGCTCACGCCTGTAATCCTAGCTACTCAGGAGGCTGAGTTATGAGGATCGCGGTTCAAAGCCAGCCCGGGCAGGAGAGACCGTGAGACTCCTATCTCCAATAAACCAACCACCAGAAAACCAGAAGTGGCGCTGTAGCTCAAGTGGTAGAGCGCTCGCCTTGAGCTGAAGAGCTGAGGGACAGCGCCCAGGCCCAGAGTTCAAGCCCCACAACCAACAAATAAAAAAAAAAAACAGATCATGTAACTTTCCTTCCAGCAATAGTTGACCCCAATGAATCCCCTACCTGGTAATTTTGCAGCTCTGAAATCTTCTCCTGCTGAACAGCAGAGTCACACCATATGAGGTTACTTGTTTCATCCTCATCAGGAGTTTTCATAAATCCCATTTCATCGATGACTAAACGAACTGCAAGTACATAGTTAGGTTACATCGAAATTAAAAGACTGAAAATGTAGTCATTGTGCAAAAACTTGGAAATGTGTAAATATGAAGAGACATATTATAGTTCATGATATTTTATTTGGAAGATGCCGATTGGTTATAGCATAATCTTATTTTTCATTACAACAGTTTTCTCTAAGACCCTAGCATCCTCAGTGAGAAATGACAGCTACATTAACTTGTTCCAAAAACATCTGTAGCTTCAATTTGCTCAGATTTATCAGGTCCACAAAACCACTAAAAAGGCAATTAATTATAGTACAGTGAAAACACACAGGTAACTAAGCCAACACCTCTACTAAGGAAAATGTACTTTCATAGGCTTTCTTATGACCAGGAGATAAGCACAAAATGGCAAAGGTAAAAATGGGCCCTGATCATCATTATACTTTCCACCTTCTTAGTTCAAATTATTTTGGGTACTTAACAGTCTACTCATGAAGTCCTGAGGCAGAATTCAAAGAAGAGCTGTAGATATTGGCCCACCTCTGTTCTCCACAGTGTAATCATACTGTAAAGTATCATATTCAAAAAACAGCTTCCTTTTGAGTACAAACTACATGTTTATACTCTCTGATCCAGAATTCAGTTCACATATTGACATTTTTTTCTTTCAACAAATTTCCAGTTTAAGATTAACAGGAAGAATATACTTGGGTAATTTTTGAATTCCAGTGGAACTCTGAGTTTTAACAGAATGTTTATGTACCTAGCAAAGCATCAATGCGTTGTTTTTAAATGTTTTATTTTTATGTGCCTCCTGTGTACATGATGTGGAATCAGCTATCTATATAACTTGACTTACATATGAAACTGATAAAGAGTTACCCGTTTGCTATTGGCTGGCTAGGAAGAAGGATGTACTGTACAAGCAACACTGCCCAGTATACAGGCACAACAGTGCCCAAAATATTGGCATAGCAGTGTCTGGAATACAGGTTCACAAAAGAGAATCATGAATGGGGTTGCAGAGATCAGGGAGAGGACTGTTTAACTGAAAACGCTATTTTTCAAAAGAGGTAAGGTAAAATCCAAAGTTGTACTGAAGCCCCAGGCCTTCAATGTATAAACAGCTAGGAGTTGAGGAAAGTTATTCCTCTCCTGCATTGCAAACCATCATGCAGATTTGGTTTTCTGGGCTCTGTGGCTATATAGCTTTCATACCTAAGGGCAGGGCAACAGCAATATAGCCAAGGGACTCCCTCAACTGGCTCACAAGCAGAAAATAATGACAAAATCAGAATGGCATCTCCAAAGAGTAGCCCTCAGTAATGAGACACATTGTCTATGCCTCTGAGAAACAAGTGGAAAGACTGACAGGATAAATGGCACTTTTGGCAGTTAGCATGGAAGTTTTGTAAGTTGTACCCTTAAGTCTGGGTCATCATACATTCACAAACCTGTGAATTCTAGGACCATTCAGGTCATGCCAGAATTTAGGAAATGTCTGTTCTTACTTAGAGCCATAAAGACAAAATTGTAAAGCCAGGCATATGTAAATATGTAAATCTCTTTTATTATGAACATCAAACCTCAGAGCTGGCAAAAAAAAGAAAACCTGAGCGATGCAGACAATACAGTGTCTAAACTTCACTTTTTGTTCAAAAAGGCTACTAAAATGCATTTTTATCTGAAATTTTAGAAACCCCTTAACACAATTTTTAAGTCTATCATCCCCCACTACATAGGAATAAAAACCTTCTAACATGTAAAAATTTATACAAAAGCCATTTTAAAGATCCCTTACATAAAATTCTCTGAAATCCAACACAAATTTTAAAAACCCAACTAATTTTCCCAATATCTCATGGTTTGGAAGAGACCTACCAATTTCAAACTTTGTCCCAGAAACATTTGCTGTAATGACCCCCTTCTTTTTCTTCTTTCTGGCTTTCCTTTTCATGCTGCTTTGATAAGCTAATTCTGTGTTCAGTTCCAAGGGAGAGGTTCCTTGAATAACTTTAAGAGAAATGTAAAACAGCCAAATATCACATAAAAACACAACAACATAAAAACACAAATCCACATCAGAAACACAGAAGTCCCCAGTAAACAAGGTAAAATTATACATTAGGATACTTGAAATATTCACAAGTACTTCTGAATACTGTTAGAAGATGGAACAGTAATGTCTGTAACATATTCAGATTTTGTAAATGTGGTTTTCTTATGTGCTTACCTCCTTCCTGAGGCAGAGATGGCATTATGACATGTGCCAACTAGTGAGCCGTGGACTGCACGGTAAGAAGTTCCCAGGAGGTCTGGATGTCTCACATTAGTCTAAGTAGGATACGGCCCCAAATCCCTCAGAGTACCTATCATATTATCTGGGTAGAATCCTCAGATTTCAAGACACTTCTATTATGGCCTCACAAAATACCTGTAAGGATTTTGAAACAGAATCACTTGGAAAACAGCAACATTTTCTGATACATACCAACACTGTTTTCTTAAAGCCAAGTAAAGACAAAAGTTACTATGCTCAATCAACAGTATGTGTTAATTTATTAAATCCTATAAAATATGCCAACTGATGGGTTTTTTTAATCCTGTAAGTACATAATCTCCACAATCTAGTGGAGATGTTAAAAAATCATGTATCATTTTCAAATAGCAAATAACATGCATGAACATTAACAAAGATGAAATTCATTACCATTTATTGAACAGTTAGCATTCAAAAATTTATATTATACTACTTAACCTTTTAGAAAGCCTGTGCAGAAGTGATTTGTGTCTGTTATACACATAAGCAGAGCTTAGAAAGGACAAATAGTTTTGGGCTGGGAAGGTGGCTGAGTGGTAGAATGCTTGCCTTGCATGCCTGAGGCCCTGGGTTCGATTCCTCAGTACCACATAAGCAAAAAGAAAAAACCCGGAAGTGGCACTGTGGCTCAAGTGGTAGAGTGCTAGCCTTGAGCTGAAGAGCTGAGCGACAGCGCCCAGGCCCAGAGTTCAGGCCCCACGACCAGACCCAAAAAAAGAAGAAAGGACAAATAGTTTTGTCTGTCTTTACAATGCAATTAAATGACATAAGAACTGAAATGAAAATTACCATTTCAAAGGTAGAGTTCCATAATCAGGAACCCGTAAAACATTCAACTAAATACCTAAGGCTGGGAAGGTGGCTCAGTGGAAGAGTGCATGAGGCCCTGCATGAGGCCCTGGGTTCAATTCCTCAGTGCCACATAAGCAGAAAAAGCTGGAAGTGGTGCTGTGGCTCAAGTGATAGAGCACTAGCCTTGAGCTGAGGGACAGTGCCCAGGCCCAGAGTTCAGGCCCCACAATCAACAACAACAACAACAAAAAAAAACCCTCAATACCTAAACCAAAACCATGATAACGCTTTTTACAAGAAACAATAAAATAACTATCAGGATGAACATTGCTTGCTGAAAGACTGCAAAACAATTTTTTCTTTGTGAGAGGCCAGTGAGGAAAAATTAGTAAAAGACTACATTTGAATTACACTCCAAAAATTGAAAACAGCTCTGAAGGGCACATAATAGTAGTGGTCACCGGGAGGATGATCTTATTTGGGCACACAAGAGAGAAATACAATAAAATTGTTTATGGAGCGAACTACTTTGATTTAGCTACATCTAAACATGATCTACAGTCTACTATGTGTATCTCTGTTATGTATAGATAAACCTGGGCATCTATGTGCTGACTATGATATTAGCAAGCTTTTACTCTCAACAGTCTATGTTCTTCCTTCTGAATATAAGCATTTTTAAACTCTTATAAAGCATCTCTAAGTGTAATATAAAATTATTATGACAAAGGTCTGAAAACTTCTCAGATTCACAAGATTTATAAAATTCAGAAATATCCAAAGATTTGGTTATATAGAATGAGTCATACAGCTCATACTGAATATATATTATTAATAATTTCTTTAATCATAGTTAAAAATTTTAATGAAAATGTGAAGTTTTAATGATAAAATATCACTTTTACTAGAAGAAGTCTCCATTATAGTTCAATAATATAAAAACCAATAATCGCTGGGTGCTGGTGGCTCATGCTTATAATCCTAGCTACCCAGGAAACTGAGATCTGAGGATTACAGTTCAAAGCCAGCCTGGGCAGGAAAGACTGTGAAACTCTTATCTCCAATAAACCACCAGAAAACAAGAAGTGGCGCTGTGGCTAAGTGCTAGAGCATTCGCCTTGAGTTGAAGAGCTCAGGGACAGCACCCAGGCCCAGAGTTCAAGCCCCACAACCAACAAAAACACAAACAAACAAAAAACTCAATAGTCTATTATTTATTATTTGTTACAGACCAGCAGGGACCAGTCAGTGTACAAGTATTTAAGACAGAAACAGAGACAGAGAGACAGAGAGAAAGGAAGGCAGGGAGAGAGAGAAGTTGAGAAGGAGGGAGGAAAGGAAAAGAAAAAAGGAAGGAACGATGGAAGGAATAAAGGAAGAATGAAAGGAAAAAAGACAAGCAACAGCTACATGAGATATTATAAACCAAGATTTTGGTTTCAGTTCTGTCTGATTCAGTATCCCATCTACTGAGCGCCACTACTTTCAGACACCATGCTAGTGTGCTATGTAGAGCTACAAAAACTTTGTAACCTTTCTCTATATAGTACATTCTACAAAACCTGCTGTGTTCTGATAATTCACAATAACTATAGAATCAAAGCAAAATCACTGTAAACAGCTCTAAATTGATCACTCAGTTCCCCATTCCAAACTATAAATGGACTAGATCCCTTCTTGGAATAAAAGAGTAGCCTGAAGTTTCTGCAGGCTCTTTGACACTTTGGGGAGATAACTATTTGAGTTTAGGAGTTCTTGTCCAACATCTTGTTACTGGAGTAAACAAAGGTCCCCTTGAAAGTGTCAGGAGTACTTATTACATTAAAAGTAGGTGACAAAGTCAACAGAGTTTGAAAACAATGCTTGCGCAACAAAAATAGGCTCCAAAAATAGACTTGTTACTTTCTAACTTAAAATGAGACTGACAACTCTGATTTGTATAGAGTTCAAATTAGAAAGTGTATCCCTTCTCCCATCCACAAAGATATTGGAAATCCTTAAAATTATTCTACCCATATTTACTTAATTTATGGTTTGATGAAAATGTTTAACCAACTGAGGACACTAGCGTATCATCCCACTTCCAATTATTTCACTCTATGCTATGCCACACATTTATTTAAGATGACCTATTTCTCAGACCATTTGAGTAAATTGTAGTTCCTTTTCAAAAGCAGGAGGCATGTTTTTAGTTACCTGTGAAATACTTTAAGCCAGTGGTTTCTCAGACTGACTGTAAAGTAGAATCACCTGACGAGCCTGGGCCACCTCAGGACTCTGAAGAGCCTGGCACCAGCATTGTGAGGCTCTTCACATCCAGAAGTACAGCCCAAGCTGAGAACCAAAACAGTCAGACCAAAACAAAGAATAACCATAAAAACAAAACTAAAAATAACTAGAAGGTATCGAAATCCTGATGACTAGTTCAACAAAACAAGTTGAGGAAAACAAGAATTAAAGACAAACAAAATAATTTCTAAGTGAAAGAAATTAAGATTTCACTTTTTACAAGAATCAATTTCTCAAACACACAAATGATGACCATGAGAATAGAAATCTCTAATACTTGTAGACATACACAAGATTGAAATTAAAACCAGACTAGTTCCCACATATATGTGCTTTCTGGCTCTTCTAGTCAAACTACTACCATCACATATCCAGTCCAGATTATGTGGCCACATTGCTTTAAATCATCCTCGAATCAGGTGTAAAAAATTAATTCCTCCCTCTATTGATCTTTATTTGTATCCCAACCACCCCCAATATCTTGCTTTCTCCATTCTCAGTGCTAGAAGAGTGCCTGTCTGTTTCAATGGGCACGTCTTACTGAGTGCTATGTGAAATTTGGAGGGGTATTAGGCGGTATGCCTTTAGGCAGTAATCAGGTCTTGAGGGTTCCTGCCTTGTGAAAGGCATAGAAATCCTTATGAAAAAGATTTTAGACTGCGCCATGCCTTTTGTACCTTTCTGTCTTTTACACTGTATGAGGGCACAGCATTCAGCCCCTCCAGAGGACACAGTGACAAGGCACCCCCTTGGAAGCACTTTGACAGCCACAAGATGCCACCCTCCAACCTTGACTAGGGACAATGAGTTAAAAATCGATGGATATAGTCAAGGAGCTCTAAGAAGCAAATACAACCATTTTCCATGTATCCCTTTCACATTTTTAAGTGCTGAAAGATGAGAAAGTATCAAAAGAAACTCTATCAAAGAAAAGCCACTCTGAGGGGTGAAGTGATTTCAGTTTTCTACTTGAGGAATGTATGGGTTTAAAAAAAAACCAGAAAATTAGTAATTGGGGTTAAGAGATAAAGTAATCCTCTGCTTTATCAATAAAATATCTGTAGTTCAACACAGCAGGGTTCCTTTTAGAGCTTTCTGCCAAAAAATTACAATAGACTTCAAAATGCACAGCTGCATGCTTGGTAAACAAATGGCATCACTCAAACAACTCTTCTAACAATGACACATTGACACCACTGATTGTGTGACAACTAAGATGGCTTTAGAGACGTGACTCATTCCCTGAACACAGTCACTTTTGTCTCCTTTTCCCAAGCTGTGTACATTCTCTCCAAAGCTAGATAGGTAGGGCATTCTAGGCCTCAAAGAACCATTTGATCAACCACATCTGAAAATCTGGTAGCAGCCAAGTATGATACTATGTGAGAATACACAGAAGTATTTATTCATTCTGGTAACAGAATTAATGTGGACCTTGAGCAACTTGCTCCACTTAGCTTTCAAATTAGTTTTTAAGTTAGCCTGCTTAGTATTTGTTCCATGCTCTGTGGAGTGTCTTAACTTTAGACTGTATCCTGGTGTGACATGAAAACATTTGGATTCATAACAAAGCACACTTTGAAGGTATTTTCCCTTAACATTGCATCTATGACCTAGGTTAATTAAGAAATGACAAAAAGCACATTCGATGAATTGAAGAAAATTCAAAGCAAGTAAGATAAAGGAACAGAAGACAGCATGATTTCTCAACAAATATAGCAAATATTCATTTACCACTTCCTGACCCTTAAAAAAACTACACAAAGTTCTCAAAACTATGTAGTCACAAAAGGTAAAAAAGTGGAGCTATGAACTCCTACCTATGATTCACAACACAGACTCTCATCTTGAGCTCTGGGGTTGGAATTTAGTGTCATTCAGAGCTAGCTCTCCCCAGAGTTCAATTGCCTAAATGACAGTGTGAAAGATGGAGACTAAGGGAAGTAGAGAAGCTCTGAAGTATCCCGTTCTCCACTTTTTTGCCAGAAAATGTATCATCAATATCAAAC